ACAACTGCGCGACTCAAGCTCTCGATAATTGCAAACGGAATAATCCTACATGCCCTGGGAGTGGTTAAAAACAAGGGAAAGCAAAACGAAGGAACGAGCGACCTGTCGACTCGAAAAAGCAGCTGCAAAAGCTTTCGTAAAGAAGGCTTGAAACTATCAGGCCAGGAAGGCTGGGGATAAAAATGGGCCATGGACTTCTACCATGGCCATTACGACTTCTACTATAGACCCACTCCTCGCCTGCTGATAGATGACATGGAACCATCCATTATCTACCTTTCACCCGTGGTGGGGTACCGACTTTTCTCACTTGATACCACATGTTTCCTATCCCAGTATGGTTTCTGCCCTGAAGGCCCACGGCTGAATCACCGCTATGCTATTATTGTAGTCTGGTCGAAGCTGCAGTCCAAGCCACCAGTTCGTTGATTATCGCTGGGGCGCAGACTTTTCATGATTGGGATAGTCTTTCATATGGCGTGACGCCGCACCAGCACGAAGAAGCAGCGGCAACGTTGACGGTTTGCCATCCACCTCAGTCCCCAGTTCATAGGGTCCGGAAGAGGCGAGATGCGTAGTGCGCCTGGTGGAGTCTGTTTGCTTCAGATTTTCTATTAAAGAAGGAAAAAAAATGTTGAGGTAGCGCCAGCGGAGCCCGATAGTGTGTGAGGATGGCCATACTCGAACATGGTGCCGATCGATAGCGGGACCAGCCTATATTAAGAAACGTCATGACATGATTGGGCGATATGCTACCTTATCTGGAGCGGCCCTAGGCTTGAGACCCGAAACACGACCACTCTAAAGATCGAAAGAACCCTGGAATTGATGCACGGTGCTGCGAAGGTTTGTGATGGCGATGTAGGTGGGGACTGGACATTCTCTTGGATGAACCAATGTCATCCTTTCCAGTTGGTCCGACCCTCTGCCTTATCCAGACATTTGTATCAAACCACAGTGAGACGAGCAAAAAGAAATTTTCTGCATTTTGTTCCTTGGGTTGCTCCGAATGGTGCTCTCTGAAACAAGCAACGGCTCGGTGTGGATCCGAGTCCTTGCACTCCCCACTTCCCATGCGTGATATGTACACAGTATCTGGGTGGCGGCTGACACCCAACCTATGATATTGAAACATTACGATTCATGTCTTGCAAACTCTGCATCTGACGTAACCCTCAGAGATGCGGGTCAGGACAGGTACATCTGGTGTACCATCCTAGATGAGATGTGGCCGCAAGAGAGGTTGAGGATCGCGTCGTCTCGTATCGGACGCTGGCAATCACTGGTACAGTAATCCGTGATCTGCAAAGGTTCGGGTAGATGTCTACAGAATGCTCTGTAAAGAAGTCTGATCGATGATCAAGGGCCTCGGGCGGGTCAAGTTCAAGTGCTCAAAATTAGAAACGTCTCCATCGGCACGCGGTTGACAGACTTTCGCTTCAAACAAACCCAGTCTGAAGTTCTGAACCTCTGACAGAACCGACCGATCATCCTAAATTTCCTAAGTAAAATATGATCAAATTTTGGCTGGCGCTGACCAGCACCATAATCTTTCCTCGTAAAAGTTGTCGAAAATGGAGGTGTTTTGGAGTAGACATAGACTTGCATTCGTAACGTTTCGGGCGGAGAACAAGCCCTCTGGGTCCCCCACCGCTGCAAGTCTCGGCTTCTTGGCCATGGGATTCGGTCAAGGTTTTTTCTTTTTATTTTTTGGTTTTTTTATAGTCGGAGACTCGGGGTCTTCCGTGTCTTCCTGTATGACGTCACTTATTGGGATTCTAGAATTGATCGAATTATGGAGACCTATCAAGGTCATGGTCTTTATAAATTAAAAATATATCAACCATATATTAAATATTGAGACATTGCCTGCCATTGCCTGTTGCCTTTCTACCATGCTCTGCTGACTAAGGTGTGTTATATTTACATTCTGCCATTCACACGCCCGCCTAAATCGGCCTCATGGTGATAAACCAGTACAGAGTATCATTAGTCAATCATAGTTGGCATTCCCAGATATTCGTACAATATTCGTATACTTTGTTACCATGTAGCGAAATCGCGTCAGAAGTTAATCAATGTGTATATTGTTGGAGTAGGGTGTACTACTAGTACTTCTAATTAAGAAGTAGATATATTTGTCTCCGTCCCTCAATATAAATATATATCCATCACTTCGATTTATTATAGTACCATCAATATCATACTTGACACCCAACCTCCCAAAAAAAAGAAAAAATAAAAAAAAAATTAAAAAATTGAAGATGAATAATAAAACAAAATAAAATAAAAAATAAACTCATTCAGAGAAGGGGAACTTTGAACCAGAGTCACGTAGTTTAGCATCAATTACTGTTCCCACGGTCCTTATCCGCGCCGTTGCGGTACGGTGCGGATTCTAGAAGGGTGTACTAGTGGAGCGGACCCTTCATGGTCTAGAGTACATTCTCGGAGCGGCCTCCTTCGTTCTCACTGAAGTGATCTGTCTGCGGATTCTTGCCGCTTTGTAACTCTCTTTGAGGCAGATCTGGTTGCTGGCGTGTGACAGCCGCTGGACCTGATGCTCCATCATTGATCGACATCCTCCAAATGCGCGCGCCTTTTGCGAGGCTCAGCTTCGAGAAAGTGTACGGAGTATATATCTTGGATCTTCCTGATTTAGGTATCCCAACGGAAGTTTCCCAAATGAATACATTATGTTAAATGGGTGATGCGGATATCGTCAAGGACAGAAAAGTAATGATCATGGAGAGCATGGAACATTGCAAGGGTTGCAAGTACTAGCTCCGAGAGGACCGCCTGTGAGATGATATGAAATCATGTGGACGCAGAACATTCGTTTCGCTGTGTTCCATTTTTGACCCTGGTAAGTTTCCCATGAGGGATGGGAATGTTCCTGACAGATCCTGATGGCCTCTATATTTAGAAAATGATGTGGACAATTGTGTACTGTTACTATATATTGTGAACCTTTCGTGTGTTTCTATTTTAGCACGGCAATAGCGACGTGTGCTCTTTTGCATACGATGCCTAAAACACCCCAATATTATCTCTGTTTCTTTAAATCTATACGACGAGGAAACTCCGAAAATGATTGACCCAAAAAGGGAAGGTTGGGCGGAAGAGTTCTTTGATGCCTGAGGTGTGAACTGTTGTCTCTATTCGAGTTTTCATTACTCAGGAAATCCACTACGGATCGTGAATGCATCCAATCACCATCACGGTGGAAACAACGGAGCACTGGACAGTCCAATAACATGGCAGATCAGTCTGAGGATTTCCCACAAGGAAATCCCAGGATATCCTCTTTTGTGGACTTGGATCCGCTAAGCTTTCCCACCCTTTTTGCTACCGTCGCGGTTTGAATCAGCACTCCTGTGCACGTTTCGCCCAGATATGCCGCTGCCAAATGACAATCCAGTCTCCGATGCACTGGGAGCACCATCCCCATAATCCTTTCAATTGGCCGCGTTGGAAGAAATGGATGTCGATGCTAACATCATGTTGGGTCACCTTCATTGTCGGGTTGAACGCCACGTCTATCACCACCGCAGCCGACGCAATATCCGCTGAATTCCGTTTGGCCAATGGAGTATTTGAGTATAACTTTTTTGCTGTTACGGCATGGAATGCCGCGGCTGCATTTGTTCCGCTAGTGACTCTCCCATTAATGGAGACTTATGGAATGAAGTTTGGCTTTTTGGTACCAAATTCTCTGTTCATACGTCTCGGCATCAATTACTAATAGCATTGTAGGTGGCATATGGTCTCTTCACGATCTTTTTGATCCCACAGGCGTTGGCCCAAAATTTTGCCACGCTTGTTGTCTGCCGGGCTATCGCCGGGGCTTTCGGAGGAACTTTGCAAAATTGCGCAGATGGAATAGCGTCGAATCTATTCCTGCATCACCAAGAACGGGTCTTCCCTCTAACTTTGTATACATTCACCTTGTTGTTTGGGGTGACAATGGGGCCTGTTCTGGGTGCTATTGTGGAGCCATTAGGGTGGCGATGGTAAGTAACATCCCTTGCCCTATAGGGAACTGCAGCTGAGCAGGCAGGGTATTCTGGATTGAATTGATTATATACGGTGCATTCACTCCGGTTGTTCTCTTTTGTATGAAGGAAACCCGAGGCCCATTACTTCGCGTGAAGCTTATGCCTGACGAGGCTTCGCCGGGGGTGTCAGACGATAGCGAGACCCTGGGAACGTTTAAGGAAACTGTAGCCCGATCAGCTGTTCTGCTTACAACCGAGCCAACCATTACCTCCTTTACATTGTGGTCCGCATTTGCGTTTGGCCTGGTCTTCATTTCCACCCAGTCAATCCCCCTCGTGTTTAGCGACACTTATGGCTGGCCATCGTACACCGACGGTGTAGTTCAGGCTGCTATAGGCATTGGTCAAGTCATTGGCCTCCTCGCATGCACTCTACAAAACCGAGTCTACACCCGAAGTGCTTCATACAACCCGGACAGCCCCGGAATCCCAATTCCTGAGTATATCCTGCATCTTTCCATTCCAAGTACAGCCTTTGCGCTAGCAGGTGGCCTCTTTATGTACGGTTGGGGTATATACCAGTCCCACTGGATCGTACTTGCCGTGGCCCTGGCTCTGATCGGATATGCAAGTATGGTAATTGTCACCGCCGTTAGTATCTATATCACGGATTCCTATGCCGGCTATGCAGCCAGTGCTATCGCGGCTGTCGCATTCGGAGAGAACATCTTCGCGGCGTTCTTGCCATTAGCAGCTAAGCCAATGTATGTTCGGCTGGGATATCCTTGGGCAAGTAGTCTACTAGCTTTTGTGGCGCTGGCGCTGACTCTAGCACCTGTGGTCTTACTATGGAAGGGAAGAGCCATCCGAGCGAAGAGCGTCGCAATCAAAAAGATGTCGCATTCCCACTCTTAATTATCTCCTCCCGCCGGACTGATCGATCTAATGTATAAAAGGTCACATGGGTATGGCCTTCTGCCTGTTAAGCCAGTGACTGTTACTTTATTCTTCACACTTCATGTAAATAGTTAAATCCCCAAAATACTCATCCGGATCTTTTAGCTGTGCCTGCGCATAATGTTTGACCATCCGACGCACACGTCCAGAGTCAGGGTCAGTGGTGAAGGGGCTAACAACGTATTAATACACACTCTCTTCAAGTTGGGGACGGTCCGACTTACCATGTCCAACGGACTGTTCCATTCTTCTCCGTGCGCTTGACCCAGCATTTATCCTTCTCGGATGAAGTCACAGTGTTCCATATCATTGCAGCAGGCCAGTGAAGGTCGGCAACGATCTGTTTGACCGGGACGTTGGGGCTCACGGAAAAGACCAGCGTGTGCTCATCCACTTGAAGAAATCCCTTGGGGTCTTCTAATGGGGTGATTCCGATACTTCTGAGGAACTCCTGGTCGACCTCGTCGTAAACTGGATCCTGCGCATAACACTTGATCTCCTGATTATCGTTCAGACCTCTCTTGGCCAACGACGCCACCATCGTCTCTACTGCAGCATGTTGCGTATGGGCCCGCGTACAGTGGTAGCCGCACCGCCTTCCGAGGGAGCCAAGGCCGAAGCAGACTATCTTTCGAATCTTTGCCGTGGTCTTAAGAGTGGCAAGATGGTGTACTAGGCTTTGACGACCAGAGCTCTCCAGCCATACCTGGCGCTGTCTGACAAATGCTCCGCGAATGGTCTCGAACGTACTTCCACTTGGGCCTGAGGAGCGCATGTACCTATAGTGACCGGGGCATGATCGCTGCGTAGGACGAACTCTGGACAGAACGGAGTGGGACAGCCCAGGTAGTGGATGCTTTGGTAGTTGATCCGATAGGTGTTACTATCTCTATCGGTTAGCCTTCTGGCCTGGGCTGTGCACAGTGGTAGGGCTTACGCGAAATCCGTGCACCAATTGGGGACTTTAAGGCTGTAGGCCTGGGGCACGTCATCGAAGTCTGGAATGTATACCTCTTCCTTCCCTTCGTCGATCTGGTGGCTGAGGTCTTCCAGCAGACGACGGGGGAAGAGGGGCTTTCCTGTTCGGTATAACTGACTGATGTGTCTGAGCCTCTCCAGTATCTTGAGGGTGGTGTCCTCGTCCAGACCCAGCTCTTGAACCTTGTGGAAGTCGGTCATGGTCTGCCGCAGTTCACTCTTGGCGTGGTTGTTGGAACGGACAGGAAGGCGAAGCTAAGAGAAAGCGGCCGAGGCAATGGACAAATCCCGAGTGATGGTGATCTGCCGTCACTGGTGATGGTTGATTGATTATATACTAGTGAACCCAGGTGAATACGACCCAACCGGCTTACATGCCTATGCTTGACATCTCGACCCCATGACGGTTACCTCCCAATTTCCAAAAGGTTAGCAGACCGTCGGACCAGTTAAACCCGTTAACCCAGATGGTGTTTATTTTCCCCTTCAGCTCGCATGTGTCGAATGGCATCGCATGGGCCTTCACGCTGTGGCTCCAGAAACCCAACACGTTGGTACGCGTCTGCAGTGCTGATTGGGTTGGAGGCCCACGAAAAGACTATTAATATTAGCCGCTGTTGGCCAATTTAATGGAAGTCGGCAATCCCAAAGTAAAAATATTACGTGAGTTGGATGCTATATTAGGCAATTAATATGATATTTTTATCTCCGACGCTAACAGTGGTCTGCATACATTAATTAGGGGCCATTTCGGACCGCGTACATGCATCGTGCATATGGGTTGTTACTATATCGAATTCCCAACGCCAGAGTGACCAGAACATCCTCACGACGAGGTATCCAAGACCACGTTTGCCATAGTGCCAACAGCCCACGATGCTCCGATTGCTCTGTTGGTCTCTTTAGTTGCGGAGCCAGCGAATCCTCCGAATTCGCCAACAGACCACTTTCCCCCGACTCTCCACGATTGACAGACCTGGACCTAATCAAGGATGCGTTGGCAGATGACAACCGGGATGCCCTCCTCATGCCAGATAACGCTTTTGGTAGTCCCTTCTGTATTGCAACTTTCCGTAAGTGACAGTTACCGAGGGATCTTCACGTTAATGACGTCTGGCGACGATGTCACCATCCTGCCTCCGAACTTAGCAGCCTCTAGGATGCCACTCCTGCACGGTTCATGACCAACTATTATGCGCCTGCTCTGGCAGATTTGGCGTGCCAGGATCTGCCACCCGATGTCATGTCTCGTACTAACGGGAATCCTTCGAACATTCCATTTCGCCCCCTTGCCCGCCAAGATGCAAGTCGCGTGCGCCAACCGCCTTCCTTCTGTCTTCCATCGTGGTTCTGCTGACAAAAGTAGGCCCTACCGCGAGGTGCTCCACCTATGAGAGAGGAACCTTCCCCCACCCATTTGGAATGCTCAGCATGGTTCTGCATGTGTACTCGATTCAGCAACCACTAATATTGTACAGTGCTTGTCTAGCTTCATTGCCGCCCAACATTGACTAACGGGCTGGACCGATAGCAACAACTTCCTTGACGATCCGTCGGCGGCAGAGACAGCGTGGACAGGTACCGTCAGACGGCTACACAAGCGTCATACGTGGGGTGTGAGCAAAGACGCCATGTGGGTGATTTCGAGCTTCGTTAAGGGTTTCCATTTTGGGATCACTCTTGACATTTCCTTCATTCCCTGGACCCCACGTAATACTGGAAACATAGTACCTGAGGTAGAGTATGAGGCCGGAGGATTTGGCGCCCTCCCGTGTGGGATTGTCAGCGGCTGTACAAGTCCAATCGTGCTCCTAGATGACGACCCAGATAGGTTATGATTGCAAGGCCCCATCTGCTATGGGCTTACACCATTGTTCTATTCGAAGTGGCATGCATCCATGTGGATGACTCGGACTATAGCCTGCAATAGCGAGACCATTAATTTCCCGAATGTGCTCACGTATCCCTATAGTACTCGACATCAACGAATTAAGACTGGGGATGCTTTCCACCATTTTGGCGCAGCTGTTACGCCTTGTGGAATGTTGGTGGCTGGCCTGGTGACTGATGGAAATACCTCATCTGGGCTAGTGACGTGCGAAGGTATCTCGAACCTCAAGGAAGAGAGAGTTCAAGTTTTGTTGTTCATATAGGTGACATAGTTGTGTTACGGGGGTGCGTTTCATATACTTTCAAATTCTTCCCATTATGCATCTACGGTATAGACTACTATCCTCCTTGGAGGTTTTGTGTATCAAAGCGAGGGGCGAACGTACCTAGGTATCTGATATAGATTGTTGTAGGTATCTAAGAGGTCTTAATTGTCTAGTTGAACCGGGCAAGTCAGTTACGGGTCAACGTAGTCCTCTCATTGGGCGCTTAAAGGGAGTTGGTAGACATCTATGAAAAGAGCCATTGTAGTGCATTGGCACCGTGATAGTGAATGAAGAGCCACTGGCGTCCAGTCCAATATTGACTCCGAACCAAATTCTGGATCGGTTTTTAATGAATACGGCGTGTCAATCATCTGCACATTATTGTTTGCTTGGGCGTTTGATGCACCAAAGATGGCTAGCTAGGCTGACTGCATCTCCGTAGCGACTAGGCGCCTTGAGCATTGGACCGTTCATCAATCCTCCTGCGCAGTGTAGCGATCTGCTCGGGCCCAGCCCGACAACATCCCCCCATTACCACACCCTCCCACGCACCCTCAGGCACTCCCCGTACCACATCCCAATAGATCTCGTCCCACGGCCGTGTTTCTTTCCCCGTGTCCGTTGCGACCCACGTCTTCGTGACAGGGTCGTACTTCTCCCCATTGGTGCCATCGGGATACAACACCAGCCAGGGTCTTCCGGTCACGCTGTCCCACTCGTCGACGTAGCCCTTTGTTCCCAGTTCGTGCAAGTTACGCAGCTCATCCTGCATGATCGCGACGATCCGCCCAACATTCCCAATGCGGGTGCAATTGACTCCGATGCCCCACGGCCGGGGGAGATTGACGCCCGTCTCGCCCTCCTGTGTGCCCACAGCTGCACGTACCCACGCGCGCACATCCTCCTCATCGACCTCCTCCTCTGGAAAGACTCCACAAACCCACCAGGGCTTCTTCTTTCCCACCGCCAATTGGCTCTTCTCCGGATCGGGCCCCTGACCTTGGTACATGTCTGCCAGCACATCCGACATGGCCCCACGGATGGCTCTCACTTCATCTGCCCTCTTGACGGTCTCAAACGCAATGTATTCGAAGTTGTCCCACGTGCCCGTCTCGTCCACGAACACGCTCAGTCGCCGAGCATGCCACTCGCGCAGCTTCGATTCTGAATCCATCTCCTCCGGATATAGGCCCGTATACTCCGCCCCGACAGGACATAGTCGCACCGTAGGGGCCCAACGACAGTGCGACCTTCACTGGCCTCCCCGACGCCGATCCCGCGCGTCGCGCAAGCGGAATCGCTGAGCGCATATAGCGCGCTGCATCCTCGCGCGTGTAACGAGAGTCCGTGAGCGTGAATCCCTCAAAGCTCGTCTGATACGTCGCGGTTAGGACGATGTCGGCGCCGACTGTCGCAAAGGCTCGGTGGACTTCTTCGAGGGTGGAGGGCGAGGAAATCAGCAGGTGAGCGGACCAGAGCGGCGTTTCGGCCGTGAAGGTGATGTTGTGGGGAGGGTCACCAAGCGTGGTGCCCAGACCACCGTCGAGGAGGAGGATAGGGGGTGGTCTCGTCGTCATGTTATTTTGGTGTACGAGGAGTTTGGTTGTTAAGGTGGTGGCAGTGAATTCGAACGTGATCAAATGTGGGGTTACTTTTATGCCATTTCAATTCATTTTCTCTTATCGATAACCAACATAATCCAACTTCCCGCATGCGGCCATCATACCAAACAAAACTTAGCGATTCAATTCAGTCCATAGTTAAGTTACTACGTGATTTACTAACAGGCATTCTACTCCTTCGTTTCTTCTAATCTGAAATCCCCGACTTCGTCCACCAGAAATTGCATTCTTTCCGACTCCATTCGTCATCCACCATCTGCGCCGCAATTCCTACGCCACTTCCACCGGCGCGTTCATCATTTCCCTCGCCCAACACCATGATCCGACCAGAGGAAGATGCATCATACGTCTCCCAGACAGGGCGGTCTCCATAAGCACCGGCGATAGTGTTCGGGTGCCCGGATACAATGAACGAGGTGAAGTATGCATGCAAGGTACCCGCAATCTTCTCCTGATCCGCGGAGATGGCACGCACCTCGGGGTTAAAAGTCTCGTATGCCATTTGGTCGCCATGATTCGCGCCGCCTTGCACCGTCTTATTGAGTGCCCAGCGATAGAGGAAGACAGGAGGCTCCTGACCTGCCGAGGCAAACTTGGCCGTCTGGCGCACCGGACAGGCGTACGCGTAGTGCCCGTACGCGGCCTCGACGCGTTTGTATTGCGGCCCGACCGGTAGAACTCTTGTGTCGACATAGGGCGACGAGGCATCCTTGGCTGGGTCGGGGTAGAGATTGTCGATTGTGTCGATGTCTGACGCTGAGTATGCAGGGAGGAGGGTTCGGAAGAACGCGGTGAACTCCTCCGACTGGGACATGGCTGGCGGTACGTAGTATGTGCCTTCGTTGGTGTTGAATCCCGTCAGGATCGGCATTTTGTTCCATTTGCCGGATTTCCAGGCGTCGATGGGTCGTTGTTTGATGAGGTCGCCGTCGATGGCCGGTTGGAAGGCCCATCGTACGGAGGGATTGTAGCGGTCGAACACGCTGAAGGAGGCATTGGTGATGGCGGACTCGGGTTGACTGCGGAGACAGTCCATCACCTCCTGGCGAGGTGCATCCTTGCAGCCGGCCTCTTCGACAAAGTGGCGGAATTGGTCCTCGTGGAGGCGAGCGTCGTACGAATGGACCGCCCGGGAGGTTGCAGCACCAGACTCGATTATGACACGGTGGAAGAGGGTGTGACCGAGGTCATAGTTCATGACATGGTGGGCAATCTGACACTCAGCAATTGCTCTCAAGGAAGAGGAAGAGAAGGCGACATACCGAATGGGCACCAGCAGAGAGGCCAAACAACGTCACCTGGGAGGGATCCCCTCCGAAGGCTTCGATGTTGTCCTGCACCCATTTGAACAAGAGGATTTGATCGTGCAGACCCAGGTTCAGGATACCCTCTTCGGCTGTCGTGGTGGAAGGGAGAAAGCCAAGGGCGCCAATCCTACCTCTTTCAGTCATGGTGGTCTGATCGCTGATAACCATGGGGAGGGAGAGCTCACCGGTAATTAAAAGTAACTCCGATAAAGGGTTGCTCGGACCAGCCAACCATCGAGGCCGTGTTATGCATGGACGCTATCATGGTCAGCTTCTCTGATTTGCCAGATCGCCAGAGGCTTACAGGTTCCCCGATTATACGCGCCACCATGTACGTAAACAGCGACCGGTAGTTTGCCCTGGACGCCATGCGGTCGGAAAACGTTGACAGTCAGACAATCTTCGCTGTTTCCGGTGTCGCCTTTGACTGGTAGCAGTTGCTTGCCAGGACATCTGCTCCGTTAGTTGGCCTCCTCGGTTTTTCAGACGGCCCAGTTTCGTACCTTGGTCCAAATCGAGTCGCTTCTATAACACTCTCTGAAGGGCCAATTGGTTCCGCGCGACGAAACCGTCTCTCACCAATTGGCGGTAGTGCATATCGGATGCCGCGGAAAGCGTCGACGGGGTGCTTGAGTGTGTCTCGCACTGTATAGCCTACAACAGTCCCCTGGGGAAGTGCGATGCGAGGTCGACTATCGAGAATGACATTCTGGATTGAGACCGGAAGCCATGAGACGTATAGCTGAATCTGCGGTGAATTGGGTAATGGGAATGCTTTCTGCTGGAGAAGAAGCCAAGCAAGGACAGGCAACAGGGCCAAGCGAAACAGTCCGTGAATAGTCGACATGATGGCTGAACCGAGACACAAGTTTTTTTTGCTATTGAATACACTTTCTTTATCACCGGGGCGGCGACCAGTTTTGAATGCCGAACACGCGGTTCCCCACATCTTCTCCGCATTATCGATTGCGATATCCTCGCCGTTATCTCGGACGCCGCCCGATGCCAAGCATGCGAGTCGTTGCTTTTCCCTCTTCAATTGGTTCGAGATAGCGCCTCTGATACTCTCTAGATTCAGACAGCCAGCCAGTTCCCCGCGAAGGATGTCTTATCACTGGTCCGGTAATATATCGCGGAGTGCTGATATCCTCGCCTCTCTTGGTTTGACTTCGACCGCGCCTGGAGCGGGAAGAACTTTCCAGTTTCGATATCATTGTAGCAGAGATTACACCCAAGTGGTGGCGTTGCGCGTAGCTATCATGCATGTCTATAAAACCTCCGCCGGAAGACAAGTCCTGGCCCTGCGTATCCAGATAGCAATTGAATCAAGTCTTTCAACATGACATTCTTACCCAAAAGCGACGAAACCAAGGAGGAAGCTATCATAGAAGCTACCGCCAAAGATGACGTGGAAATTGGCCAAATATCCTCGCTGGACGAGGGCGAGCTATTCCTGCAAGAGCATGGTGTGACCAACACCCAATTAGAAGAGATGCTCAATGACTCGATGAAATCCAAGAAGTTAAGAAGAAAGGTCGACTTGATGGTTCTTCCCTTGCTTTGTGGCACGTACGTGCTGCAGTACATCGACAAGCAGGTATGCTCCCTCGTACTGAATAGATGCTTCCATGATAACACGTTAGCTAGGCTCTTGCGTATAGCGCTGTGTTCGATCTGTTCACGGATGCCAACATTAACAGCAATCAGTATAGCTGGCTGATCAGTATCTTCTACTTTGGTATGTTTCCAGAGAATAAGCACAGTCCTGGTGACTACATACTAACCTATCTCAGGATACCTCTTCTGGGAATACCCGGCCAGCCATCTTGCCCAACGGCTTCCGACCGGAACTGTGATATCGTCATTCGTGTATGTCACTTCCTTACATGTCCTGCATCATGCTGACCGTGTAGGCTTGCCTGGGGATCGATTTTGATGATCACGGCTGCCTGTAACAACTTCATGGGGTTAGGGATCACTCGCTTCTTCTTGGGCTGTTTTGAGGGTAGGCGAACTATGTCCAACTGAGACCTGATCCTTGTCTGACCTCACAGCCCCCATCACCCCATGCTTTATGATGATCGTTGGCATGTGGTATACACGCCAGGAACAGCCCTTCCGTGCGGGATGCTTCTACTGCTGCAACGGCGTTGGCTCCATGGTAAGGCTCTGCACACCATGCGCGCACAGATAGTTGACCAAAATTAGCTCGGCGGCCTCATCACATTCGCCATCGGGCAAATCAAGACCTTCCCAGTCTGGCGCACAGTCTTCCTGATCTGCGGTGCCGTAACAGTTATCTGGGGAGGAATATTGATGCTCTTCCTGCCCAACAGCGTCTTGTCCGCAAAACGATTCTCTGTCGAAGAAAAGATCCTGCTCGTCGGCAGAGGAAAGCAAAACCAGACAGTAAGCGTCGCGCACTAAAAGCTCAATAGTCGAAAACTAAATACACCAGGGAATTCTCAACCGCTCAGTAAAATGGTATCAAATCCGTGAAGCCTTCATCGACCCCCAAGTCTGGCTCTTATTCATCTTTACCCTCCTCAACGAGACCATCAACGGCGGCACGGCAAATGTACACAACCCCCTGCATCAATCAAATACACGAAACCCATACTAACGCGCATAAACCAGTTCGGAAAACTAATCATCAAAGGCCTCGTCTCAAGCCCCCTCCTAACAACCGCCCTCGGCATCCCCCAAGGCGCCTTCCAAGTCTTCTTCATCCTCTCCGGCTCGTACCTCTCCACCCGCTTCAAGAACATCCGCACCATAATCATGATGGTTTACCTCATCCCCACAACCATCGGAATCAGCCTCCTCTGGAAACTTCCCCGAACAAACCGCTACGGCGTGTTATTCGGCTACTATATTGTCCGTTCCCGTCTCCAAATAATTCCGATAAAGATAAGGACTAACGAACATAATAGCTCGGCTCCTACGTCTCCTCCCTCGTCCTCTCCCTGCAAATGCCTTCCAGCAACATGGGCGGCTACACCAAACGCGTAACAGCCACTGCCTTCGTCTTCCTCGCCTACTGCATCGGGAATATCATCGGTCCGCACGCTTTTCTCGCCAAGGAGGCACCGATCTATCAAACAGGGTGCAAACTGGTTCTGGCCTGTGCGTTGTGTCAGGTAGCCTGTGCGGCTTGCTTGAGGGTTCTCTTGGTTAGGCGGAATAAGAGGAGGGAGGAGAAAATACGAGCTGATCCTGCTGTGCAGGGGGCAGATGGTGATGTTATGGCTGACTTGACGGATTTTGAGGTATGTTCTCTTTTTCTTTTCTCTTTTTGTTGAGTGGGTGGCTGACTGGCTGGTAGAATCCGAGGTTTCGGTACGTTTTGTGAATGGTCTATATGTGGTGAAATCTGTAGTTATGCTTGGTAGATATTGCAGTTATCTGTCTAACGTTCTAGGTATAATAGAGAAGAAATATCTATTGGCCGTCCAAATCATCTGATATGTACACGAGCGACACATAACAAACAACCAGAAGGAGAAAAAGTAAACAAACAACCAAGTAACTGCGAAGAAAAAGAAAGGGTAAAACTGTTTTCAGAACATGTACAATCATGCTCCAATAAATCTAACCGTCATATCGTTGTTCCCCGTAACCTCCGTTTGAGTCAGCACCTTATCGTTCTGCTTCAGCTCAACAATCACTCCGCCATCCAATCCATATACAGACTTCCCAGCTTCAGCCTGCGCCCCGCTGAACTTGACCTCCCCGAAGTTCGCCATGACGACCATCGAATCGCCCGACTGGAAGTCCTCCACAATCCACTCCGCATTCTGGCCCACCAGCGTCGCCGTCGGCGCAGGAGCAGTCACCGTCTGCGACACCTTCTGTCCCGTGGATTTATTCTCGATGATCGCGATACCCTCACTCGGGGAAGTAGACCGAACCGTCGAGACAATTGTGTCGCCTTCGTTCACGTCGATGTTCGGGAAATTGGTCGCATACGCCGGGTACCATTCGAACCACGCGTGATTCGCTTGTTTGGGGTCGGAGTAGAAGTCCACCCCGGCTTGCAGGATGGCCCCCGGGTAGGTGTCGCCGTCGATGCCGACCCAGACCGACCCGGCCTGCACCCCGTTTTGGTTGGCCACCTGCGTTGACGTGGGGATCGTGAATGTGGCGGTCACGGCGGTGTACGGGCCTTCGGGCGGTGCTTGCTCGCGGACCACCCCCGACCAGTTGTTGCTGTATTGCACGGAGGCGCCGGCTACCCTCGCTTCGGAGTCTGTGCTCGAGCCTTGGTCTTGCAATGGGAGGGTGAGGTGATCCAGCGATCTGTGGCGCATGCGTTGGGCGAGAGTGCTGCCTGGGGCGGCGAGGGCTCCGCTGATGAGGGCAGCGGTGAGATAGGCGTGTGTGAGCTTCATGGTGAGGTTGTTTGATCAAGGGAGGATAGTTGTTTCGTGCGTAAGGACTGTGGATAAACGAATTACTGGACAGAGAAACCCGGTACAAAGGGCTAATCTTATAGCTGGGTAGTTTGAGATGGTGTTGGCCGGATTGGGTAATCTGCGCAGCTGTGTTGTTTCGAACTGCACGAGGCATGGCCATCGGATCGGGTGGTGGAGAATCATGGCACATGGAGGTTTCGCATCTGTTGCTTCAGCTTCCCGTGTGCCTGCTTTAGGCAAGTTTGCACAGCAGCTGAGACTATGTGCTAGGCAAACAAACATTAAGAAATTAAGCATAGATCAGCCACCTGATCTACGTGGTTCGGGTTGCGTTGGTCGTGTTCAATCCGCGCAGCGTAGATCTTCGTCCATTGGCGCAACTATTCCTCGGCCATGGGGACAGGGTTCTTCTCGACGATCACTGCTTGCTAATAGGCATCACAGTTGCCGCCAACGGAAGTGCAATGGCAGTATCGAACTTTACTCCAGTCATGGAGGGCTCAAGCGAAGCCACGCCGAGTCTGACACATACGGCTTCAGGGCTCAGGCACGTCAGCACGCAATCGAATATCAAACGAATGTGACGCAATGTTGTTTACACGTCCAATCACTGGGAAGGCACAGAGCTGTTATTATTAGCAGCAACATGTTTGGGGAATGTAATTCGCTCGGGAAGAAGGAGGACGGACAATAAGGGATAGTGCGCATTCCTCAGCTCCGCATTCCGGTCAGCGCTGGTGCCCATGACGCTATCAACGAACTGCTCGCCAGCTGGAATGCCCCTTGTCCGCGTGGCTACCGCAAGCAATGGTCCGCTGGCTGGGGACGGTTAAATCCGCGCGTCCCAAACTGCTTCTCTCTTTGGTGCGGACCTTGCCGCGGCTGCTTGGCTTACTATCCCAACTTGCGTGATCAGGGTTCGAAGGAGTCGTTCTAAAGAAAGTTCGGTAAAATAATGTTTGTCGTCATACTCCCACGTAAACGGTTTTAGGTTTCGCGGTAAGTTTATAAAGGCCAGGTCAGCCTGCCAAGCGCCGACGAAGGGCTTTTGACCGCTGGCGACACGCATGACGACTGGAAGCAGTCAACAAGATTCACCGTCTGATGAGCGAGGGGCACATGCCCCTCAATGTGGATTTCCAAAGAAGCGCGAGTTAAACAGCTAAACAGCAAACCGCAGTGTGTGCCGGCACAGTGGTCTCGTGACATCCATGATTGCCCTCCAACGTCGCCATCTGATCACATAGGAAGCTTGCGCATCTCCTCCAATGTCCAGTACTTTCGCATATTCTCCGCACCAAGGGTGCGAACCTCTTCATCCAGATGCGTCCACAAAACCTCCCCAAACGCGTCCATGAGTCGTTTCATCTCTGTCAGTTCCAGGTCTTCCTCTCCGGACCGGCATTTCTCTAAGTACTGTTCAAATTCGTCCAGTCCACGATGTATCTTCTTATGTTGCGCCAATAGCGTCTTCTTCTGCCGGAATTCTGGCATCTTGCGAGCTAGCACAGGGAATAGATGTTCTTCTTCAATACTGTGGTGGAAGCCAAGCTGAGAGCAGAACTGCAGCCCTGTAAGTATCAGTTGCTTGGGCTTGAGCCCGCCAGACCGCTTCCCATTGGTATCACATGCGTTCTGGAGATCCTTCCAGGTTAGGCGAAAATGATTATGCTGGTGCCGTTAGTAATGATCACCCATTTTGAAGATTTCCGTCTCCAATAACAGGCACGGAAGGACATACAAAGTGGTCCATCTGAGCCGCCATTCGATTATACACGCCAAAGTCTTTTACGGACAGAGGCGGTAACTTCTGTTCTTCACTTGCACCCTCATTAGGGGCCGCGGCAGACTCAATCTTTTGTGGCATTGTTGTTATATGGAGGCGGGGTGAAGATGAAGATAAGCGACGGACTGTACCGAAAGCTTTCCAGGCCGGGCTCAGGAGACGTACGAACATTTGACAAAACTTAAGAGGCCACCAAGCGCTGGTTGACAGAGGCCCAAATTATAGAAAATTATTTGGAGTATGATTATGATATGATGAATAAGCCCAAGCCCATCGGATGCTGTAAGGAAGCCGAAGCCGAAGCCCCAAGCAAATCACAATCGGCAATTTGTCCGCACGCGCTAACTTGACTTGGCTCCCCGCCGTCCACCTTAGGACTAGCGCGGACCTGTGAAAGCCAAATCGGAGGAAATCCCGTGATTCGTCCCAGACACCCACTTGGGCCAGTGACATCACCGAGAACTGAGTTGCGTTAGGTTGAATTAGTTAGTAGCAGGTTCAACTTTGGATTATTAATTCAATGATAAAGCCAGAGATATGAGAAAGTTTTTTGGTTGTTGTAGTTCTGGTAAATCGCTTAGGAAACAAGTTTTACCAAATCTTCTCAGCATCGTATACTAGGTTATATATATCCCACGATCATCAAAATGCCGTTGCGCGGAAAAAATGTGCTTCTTGTACGTTGATTCTGCACATGAAACAAGATATTGCTGCATGCCAAGGAAATTAGACAGGGGCCTCTATGGGCATCGGAGAAGCCATCGCTTCTGCTCTGGTTGAGGCTGGGGCCAACGTGATCCTATTTTCGCGCTCCGAGGTGAATCACTAATAACTATGAGTCTATGATGTTCCAGACGTCAGCCATGCCAGCTAACATTGTGCATGTAGAGTAAGCTGGCACAGCTTAAAGAAAAGCTGTCGGCGACATCAGATGTAAAAGTCACATACAAAACCGTGGACGTTGGGGATTATGCCAGCGTCGAAGCAGCGGTGTCCTCCGCCATCGAAGAGATAGGAGATATCGATGTCCTCATCAACAACGTGAGTTCAGTTCCAAAGCCTTCTTTCATATTGAAGCGCGATGTAACACGGATCGTACAGGCGGGTCTTGCCCTCGGTGCCCCGAGCCCATTCCCAGAGTTGAAAGTCTCAGACATCCTAACGATGAACAATACCAACATCAACGGGTACATGTTCATGGCCCATGCCGTCCTGAATCACTCGATGCTGCGACGGAAAGCAGGGACGATTTTAAACATTACCTCAGTCACAGGCTTAGAGGTCCCGCCGTTCCCAGGCGAGGCTGTATACCATGCCAACAAGGCGTGCCAAGAGGCGTTTACAAACGCTTTGCGGAATGAGCTGAGCGGCACCGACATACGCGTGCTCGCACTGCGACCGGGATGTGTTGCGACAAATTTCCATTCGTTGCGTGTGGGTCATGACAAGGAGATGTACAATTCCTTCTTTGAGGGATATGAGTATGTGTTGGCTTCTATCTTTGTTTCCAGTTTGGGGCGGTACTTACTCAGATGTGACCAGGCCACTCGTTGCTCCAGACATTGCACAGGCAGCCGTGTATATGCTCCAGCAGCCACCAAATCTGTCCGTAAAGGCCTTGGACATTGTTCCTTCAGGTATGGTCTTGACATCATATCAGAAACCTATTGATTTCTGGGATCTAATGCTCTATGATAGCACAACGCTCGTTGAATGTTTTTGACCGATCATGGAACGAGCGGAGAGAATCCCAGTGAAGAGCTGAGGAAGATGAGTACCAATCTTCACAAGCATATAGAATTTCTCAACTGCACACCAAATACTGGATCACGAGCTAGTATTGAACGTACCCGCGAAATAAATCATAATTGTATAAACCCTCCATGGTATCTGGTTGTTTAGCGAGACTTTTGATAGGTAAAATGGTTGCGATCGTGAGGTGTTCTCTGAATCAGCAGACTCCAGTCAACGCCTTCTGAGAAGTGCAATGTGGTGAGATGGCTAATCCTGCATGAAGAATTGGTCTTGGCAATGGGCCAATGCTTCAAAAAGTCCAATCCGATTGCCTGTCATATGTTGGAGAGACCCACCTGGCCCACCATCCGACGACTCCGCCTCATTAAGGAGTTGACTCTTTGTATCGAGTAGGGTTGCGCTTCTCACATGGGATAACTTCTGCCTCAGGATGCCTCCTCGAAGATCCCATAAGAAGTCACGCACTGGCTGTCTGCAGTGTAAAAAGAGACGAGTAAAGGTAAGCCAAATCTCCGTAATTCATTCTAGCTCAACTTTCATCTTCTTTTCAAACTCTCTTTCGCCATGTTTGTTCATGTTGCATTCTCCACGCCTTTATCTTTCCTTTTCCACGGTGCTTTAGAACCTCGGCAGTAACAGTCCACATTAACATGGAGCAATTGATGATGCATACCACATTGAATTCGAACTACAACCGTTATCCTCGGTAGTATCGAAACAAGACTACTGCTATATGGGGTTGAATTGGCCAATCCGTTCCACACAACATCGATACCAATGTCGTGGTGTATCTGAGCCTTATCTAACAACACCCGTAGTGTGACGAGCGAGGCCCTCCTTGCAAAAACTGCACCACTCGGGGGATAGAATGCGCCTATTCTAGCACGCCCGCTGGGGCTCGCATGCCCGACACATTGTCCGTGAGCCCTGGCTCTCCGCAGGTGTCTCTAAGCCCAAACAACGTATCCAGTCAATCACCAATAACCACGACGCACTATGATCTACGCTCCTTAGAGCTCATGCACAAATTCTCCACGGAGACCTACTATAGTCTGTCCAGCGACGCACTAGACCACCGTGTGTGGCAAACCACCATGCCCCGCAAGGCACTGGAACATGACTTCCTCTTGGACGGCATCTTGTCAATTGCGTCATTGCACACGGCTGCGACAAAAGGACCCATAGAGGCACGCTCATATATCGACACAGCATTGGAATACCAAAACCGAGCATTAACCCCCTTTCGACAGGCTCTTAACAACATCTCGCCGGCGAACTGCGACGCCATTTATGCCTACTCCCTTATCACCATCGCGAGCCGTATAGCAATGCCCCATTTAGCAATTGGCGACAACGAAGGCCCAAACATGATTGAGAACATTCTACACGTCTTCGAGCTACTGCAAGGTACCACTGAGATCTCAAAGATGACCCGTGCCTGGTCGGCGCAGAGCTCTTTCTCCACAGCCGCGGATTACTGGGCCCCAGCAGCCAAGCGACTAGATAGCGAAACCGAAGAAGCCTTCACCCGTTTAACGGCGGTCAACAATCAAAAGAATAGCACTCTGCCCGAGGCGCATCGTATGACGGACGAGGCGATCGACCTGCTGCGACGCTGCTTCTGTCGGTACAGCACGACGAAAGACCCAGGCTCGGTCATTACTTGGCTCGCTGTAGTTAACAGGCGATTTGTTGATACGCTCAGGGGTCTTGAGCCTATTTCGTTACTTATTCTGGGACATTGGGGGGTTTTGCTCGGTCAGCTGGATGGGAAGATATGGTGGGCTTCGAACTCAGGCAGAGCTTTGGTCACTGATATCTTGGGTGTTGGTGGGAGGGGTGATGTTGAGTATGGGGATGCTTGGTTGTGGCCGAAGCGGCAGTTGTATTTATGATGGTGTTGGCTGATGTACATTTAACATTAGAGGATTGCGACTGTTCTATTGTCTTGTTTATGATGGTGTATAGGTTATTCACCTGTTCGTAGATCCATATATCGCGCCGTCCCTGGGGTTCCCTGATTTTCGGGCGTCCCTCAAAAGGGTGATCTTGCTCATACGGTACTACATAATCATCGTGGACATAAGAGTATATATAATAACTGTATCTATAAGCGTTATAAGATGTCCGATAGCTACTATCCCATTGAACAGTATGTTATTTACAGTTCTGACATTGCAAGGACTTCATGACGCGACAGTTGTAGTACTATTGCCACAAGTCAATGTTGACAAAATACCCTGCCACGAAAGAAAGCATTAGGAGTTTAGTAAAGGACAAAAAAAACGAAAAAAATACAGGATAAGACAAGCAAGAATGAACACCAACCAAAGATATAAACTCCATCGGCAAAGCCGATATCGTCGGGAAGCTGCCGATACCATCGGTATGGCCCCGATGAACTCCACAATGCACATGGGATTCCACCATTGCTGCTCATAACTGTCTATCACATATGTCTCCACTGAACTGCCACTGTTAGTACTGTTTCAGTTTGACACAAGAGATGAGGCTGTGTAGCCCTTATATCAGTTCAGCCTGAAACCCGGCAGTGTAGAATCTTACATTACAATTTCTCCCAGGTACCGCTTGGAAACGCAATCTGCTCTAACATATCAAAACCCAATTGGCCAATGGTGTTTGCTTTTCTCCAGTGAAGGGAAATTCAACCCAGTCAGACCATATGGGGTGGTGGTTCTGATCAGCGAGGTACGTAGCATAGATGGTAATCCTAATATCTATCCAGGGGGATTGACCGTCGCCAATCAAGACGATCAGCAGGACCTAATCGTCTGTTTTCCCAAGCAGAAATCCACAGGGACTGTGATAGATGATGGAAATGCAGGCTTAGAAGCGTGTGCTTCGCGTAGCCGTAGGGATCTCGACAGGGATAGTCAGGCACAACACCGACTAGACCCGCCTAGCAGGATGTGCAACGAACGTATCTATTGTTTAGCGCTGTTAGACTAGAAGCCCAAGCACGAGAAGCTTTTTAGCCATGCTGTCAATGTACTTATATGGACTAGCTATATCCGGGGAAACAATAGAAGCCCTCAGCGTTCGAAAGGCACTCGATGAATCGGAGGGCGGGGAGAACGACCAACCGTTGGATACGCGATCAGCACTAAGAATACCCCGTCTGGATGGGTGGTGTGGGGGCTGAAATTGAGCCCTAGATGGGAGGAAGACGCAGAGGATCCTCGTCCGGTTGCCATTATCTAAAAACATCTTATCCTAGCCGCTTTAGGTCTTAGCAAGTGGACAGAACAACCGCCTAAGATGCCGATTGGATCTCCTCTGTTGTTGTGTGGGATAGCTGGGGAGAGATCATGTTCCCATGATTTTTGTATTACAATCTCGTTAGCCTGAAATGAATGTGGAGTTCAAGACGAGCCAGTCAAGCACACGATCAGCCCCTCCATGTTTGTGATGACCCAGAGGCCAAGAGCATCGGTCATTGGGGTCGACTTTCTGAATGGCTACAGAATGATGGCTGCCTGCAATGGACCACACAGGACCCCTGCCTTTCATTTCCACTGGCCGGATCGACAGAGGACAGACCGTGTCAAAATTTTCAGTCTCACGAGAATGGAACGGGCCGACAGCTATTCCTAAGTATCAGTCAATTACAAGGCTGTATTATCCGTGGTTACATAGCCTGTGCCCTAATGTATCTCCTCTACTGAATCAGGAAACGTTGAATACTAGGGTGTAATCCTACAGGGTCTCACTAACCAGGTGCACTGCCTTCCCAGAAACATACATTAGGTTCTGCAGGAACAGCTGGTCAACTTTTAACTAGAGTTCAGAATGTGAAAAGAGGGCTTTCTCGTTCTTGTTTAATGTCCCCGCCTTTGTTACCATCAAAATGTGGTCATCCTTTTGGAGTATTGCACTTACCGTGTGGCTGACGCTGGGACGGCTCACCGCAGGCATTCAACTTGATATCAATGATCCTGGTATTTCCGCGTCCGTTGGATGTAAAGTTCGTTCTGCACCTCTAACACTGAATAGAATCGATCAAAGATGCCGCCGCAACAGCCGCCTACGGTATGATGTCCTATTATCATGGCAACGAATCCGGTCAAATCCCAGGGAAGCTTCCAGGAACATGGTGGACGGGTGGCGAGGTATTCATGGCCCTGGTGCAGTACTGGTACTGGACAGGCGACACATCATACAACGATGTGACCAAGCAAGCCTTGATCTGGCAAAAGGGCCACAACGACTACCTACCGGACAACTATACCCAGGATTTGGGCAACGACGATCAGGTATTCTGGGGCCTCGCCGCGATGACTGCCGCCGAGTTGAATTTCCCCGAGGATGAAGAAGTGTCATGGCTCGCACTTGCCCAGGGCGTATTCAACACTCAGGCTGAGAAATGGGACCCCGATACCTGCAATGGTGGCTTGCGGTGGCAGAGAAATTCGTGGAACGGAGGCTACGATCTAAAGAATTCAGTCTCTAACGGAGGGTTCTTCCAGCTCGCGGCCCGCCTGGCACGATATACCAAAAATGAAACTTACTCCGAATGGGCAGAGAAGGCATTCACCTGGGCCACGTCTGTTCCGTTGATCATCGAGAAGGGGTGGACTATAAATGATCTGGTTACTGTGGAATCGAATTGCAAGGCACCTAACCAGATGCAATGGTCTTACAATTACGGAATCTACTTTAATGGCGCTGCATACATGTATAACTTGGTACGGATGGCCAACAATGCTAGACCCCTGGGTACTACATTAGTATGACCTTTAATGCGGGCTGACACATTGCACAGACGAATGGTGATAGCAAATGGCAAAATGTGGTGGAAGGCTTACTGAATACTACATGGCGCAACTTCTTCCCAAAGGAGTACGGGGGCAACATCATGGTTGAGCCATGCGAGCCGCAAAAACCGGGAGTGGTAGAGTGCGATGGCAATCAGTCGACATTCAAGAGTTTGGTCACCGCTTGGCTCGCCTTCACGACGACTGTCATGCCCAACACTCTCGACCAGATCTTGCCCAAATTACAGGGCTCCGCAGAGGGAGCAGCAAAACAGTGTTCCGGGCCCTCTCCGGACAAGATCTGTGGACAGCGATGGTACCTTGATAAATATGATGGTGTGACCGGCCTCCGTGAGCATATGTGTGCGTTGAGCGTTTTCACCGCGAATATGGTGCCATTCAAAACTGGAAACCGTGAGCAAGGTCCGTTAACGGCGGACACTGGAGGAACGAGCAAAGGTGATCCGAGTGCAGGCACGGGTAGTCACAAGCCAGAGAAGGACGAGCCGCGAGAGATCACGACAGGGGATCGTGTGGGTGCCAGCTTTGCGACGGTGGCTGTTGTGGGTATATGGCTTGGAATAGTAGCCTTTATGATGACCGGGGATTGAATTGGTTATACCTATGGCGCGTTATTCCGTGCACCCTAATCATGAATTCCAAATGCAGAGCAATGGAAGAACAGTCGAAATCGAGATGACGGTTCTGCTCATGGTATCCAGGCCGTACGAATAAGAGACTCAATGAGGACAACGACTATTCTGTCTTCTCAAACCGATAGAGATCGCAACCGGGAGGTATGACATCCATACGATACCATAACCTCATATTTAGATAACAATTTCTGCCACATGTTTGTATTATACAAGTACAACCAATAACAATATGACAATGTCTCTATACTTATGCCTACCTGCTCCGTTGCCCATTGTATAGCTTCGGTCCACTCATTGATCCGTGCGAGCTCCCTTGCCAAATCCCCTACAATCCTCCTTCCTGAGAGCGTTGCCCACCATATATCCTTCAACCCGCTAAGCAAAACACCCCAATACATATACACCAGTAAGGCCATGGGCTCCTCTTGTTGTATGAGATCCACGAAGTCCAGCCCAACAACCATGATCCATGGAATCGCCATTGTTTCATCTTTTACAAAGCAACTCCCCAGGAGTGTGATAGCACGGCTAAGGATGTTCCGTATAGCCGGATTTACATGAGAACAAAGCTTTCGCAACTTGTGAATGACCTCGGTTTCTTGCAGGGGTGACTCCCACTCATCATCGGAATGAGCTAAAATTGCAAATCGAAAGGGCCCTTTGGCCAGCCATAGCCGAGATTTATCAATGACGGAATGTATTCCCTTGACAAAATGAAATGGAGAAGTTAGGTTTTCTACCATGTTTCCGCGACTGCTTCCAACGAATGGAGCCACAACAGCGCAAGCCATCATGATGACCGAGCATGCGAAAAGCGCATGGCAGTTCGATGCTGAGATGTTTTCTAGTGCGGTACAAAAAGCCGGGACGGCGCTATTCTGGTAACGAAGTGCGTCGTTGATGTATTCCGAGACAGTGGCCGAGCTTAGGGGGGCATGATTATCATTCGCATCGTTGTTGTTACTGCCGATGGTTCCAGAGGCTATGTGTAGTGACGTGAGTGCCAGCAGTGAGTCCATGAGAAATGGATGATGGAAAGCCTGCTCCACCACGAAGGATCGGAAGACCTCGCCAAGGTTGCAGGAAAAGCTGTGGCAGGTTTTGAAGGACCAGACGTGCATCAACTGGAGCTCTCTCATGCGGCCCGCCGGTACGATAGGCAATGTACTTCGCGATGCCTCGGATACCCACGGCAGGCCTGTTCTACCTTCATCTGATCTTGTTGACTGGTCCTTTTGGTATGTTGGTGAGATCGGAGGATTTTGGCATTGTTCGCTCCATTCTGAATGTCGAAATAGTTCCCTAGTGGAATACTGACAATCGGCCTTTCGGGCAGCGCAGTGGCCGCATGGAGGGCCGGCTTCATCGCATTTGATTCTGCGTAGTTTGCATCGCTCGCAACCATGGCGGGACTTTGTATGAGTACGTCTGGTTGGCATAGCAGCTAGGCGTGTGGCTGAAATAATTGCTGCGGAGTCGATCGCAGGGGGAGAGACTCGGTGGAGAAGTTCGTTGATTTAACGGGTACAGAATTTGGCTTCAGTTCTTGGCATATATGGTTTTTGTACTAGCAGTGAAGTCTACAGTATACGAACTTCTGATAAATACGTTATTTCCATCGTCCTGTCGGGTCGAGTGCATTCTGCCTTGTTCACTGCTCAAATTTAGGGCTTATCTGGTGAATACTTTGGCTCCTACTGGTCAAATATCATTTAAAGAGTCGATTTTTGTATTGCATGTTGTGAATCAAGGCTTGGTCTGGTAGAAGAATTTCACAATGGGTTCTAAAATCTGATAGATCACGCTGTATCGCTTCCAAAGCGGGCTAATTACAGATATAAGGTGCCTTCCCAAGCCATTGTTCTCGAGTAATCTCATCCAGGGCCCACGTCGCAACACTCGCCCGACTAATCCATGTGCCATCATCGCCGCTCCCCAGGAATGTCGCCTTGACTGGTGCCTCTTCACCGTTTGTCAGCCCACCAACCCGAAACAAAGTCCACTGCACAGGCCCGTCGACAGGCAGTGACGCTATAAACTCCCCTATGCCGACCATCTCTCGATACTGGCCATTACTGAATAGCCTCATGAACCATGCCCCCAGCCGCCATTTGAAAATTATGGTGTCCGAGGGATCATGGTAGGACGGGGTGCATAGTATGATGATGCGCTTGAAGTGCCGGTCTACTAGTCTTGGAACCAGAGCTTTATACCCCAATGTCAGAGGCTATTTGGATGATTAACAGTCTGCTTTGCTGATAGGCTTGATAGCATATCTCACCGTTCCTTCCGTGCCGATCGGGGGACCAGCGAACGAGACAAAGATGCTGGCACCACAGCTCGCAGCAGTGTCTAGGGCTGTTTCCTCGTCTAGAGCGCCTTCGATAATCTCCACATCTGTATGTTGCACGAGGTTTTGGGGGAGGTTTCTAGGAGTGCGAACTAATAGACTTAGACGATGCCCTTTGTTTAGCGCCAGGGCGCAGAATTTGCTTCCGATAGCTCCTATGCATTTTGTGTCAGATGTTGGCCTATTAAAAGTGTAGCCATCAGATAGAGCAAGGTACCTGTAGCTCCTAGCACAAGGAAATGCATGCTGTCGCTTTATTGAACAAGATGTGCTTATAGGCCGGATGGCCAGGTGGACAGCAGCGTGCAAAAAGAAATCCAATATATTAAGAAGAAATATTTCATTCTTCCAGTACTGGTCTGAGGAGCACTAACAATCACATCCTATTGACGCGAAGTCGTCTTCTTTTATAGACATTTTTTTTGTTAGGTCTTTGGATGGCTAAGAGACCGAAAAGGGAAATGAATACGCTGTGGGGAAACCCTAAATAGGAAAGTCTTACGCAGCATCCCAGTTTCGACTATGAATTGTACGAGATATGGCTTAATCGACATACTCTTTTCTAAATTCTAGTCTTACTACAATTCGCTTAATGCGCATTCTACACGTCATAGGCCGTCTTTCGATCGATCTTACTGACCTTAAAGAGGCTCCCCCAACATCCGAAAGCTGGGGAATGACTGCGAATGAGGCCTATGAAATGCTAGCTATGCTTAGGGCGTTTCACAAATCGTACGTATATCAGTCTGTCATCAACACTTCTATTAGAACTTGCGAATACCTCTATTGGTAGGTATATCACAATCAAGGACCATATCTCCATGTCATAGCGCTGATGCCCCGGCGAGCGATTTGTTTATAGCTACTATTGCCACCAAGGCCTTAGGGTTTAGGCTCAAGAAAGCACCTCAACAAAAGCATCCTCACCAACTCCAATGCTTCTCTCTTTGCAAGCTGGGTACACTGTGAACATATTTGGAAGCCACAGCATGGCAAGCACATCAGACTTCGACTCCCTCAAGCCAATCGGGGAGCAATATACCTTTGGGAGGCTCCATCACAGACCCGTACTGCAGCAACCACAAGCCCAGGGCTCATCATTTTCTGTACATGGCTTGGCAGTGCTACTCCCCAAGGCATTCTAAAATAAGTTACCGGCTATTGAAGCCTATGCTCAGCCTTGGCTATTCTATGAATCACCACGCAGATCCTTGAGATCACTGCATTTCCGTTCACTGTCCTCCACTCGCGTCTATCACCAGCACGCGACTACATTCGGCGTAAGACCGCAGGCAAAGAAGAGAAAGGTTCAGTTCGACTGCCTATCTTCTCACACGGAGGCTGCAACACGGCGATTCAACTAGCTCTCTCTCTCCGCCCCGATGCTGCCTATCCATCCTTGGAGCTAGGACCCTATCTTTGTGGGATTATCTTCGATTGCTGTCCCGGAGACACCTCCTTCTGCCCTGCATACCACACAGCCGCTTATTCACTGCCGCCTCAACCCGCGCCTGCACACGCCTTGGGAAAGTTACTCCTCGATCCTGCTGTGCGACTCATCATCAGTGTGCAGCAGACGGGGCTAATGAGTTCTGTTTTGCAATTGCGGTCGCAGTTTAATGATCTTGCTGTGCTAGGAGCGGTAGCCCAACGGTTGTATCTGTATTCTACGGCTGGCCAGTTGGTTGGGTGGAATCGCATTTGGCTGGGCCAGGGCTCTGTTCGGCTGCCGTGCTGAAGGGGTGGCGTTTCCCGATAGTCCGCACTATGCTATCGTGAGAGATCATGCTGATCGGTATTGGGGATATGATTGACCGATTTTGGGCTAGGAAGGAGATTTCCACGCCAGCCGCGAGAACAGCTGGGCAACTGGGTGGTGGTTCGGGTGACAGGTTGCGGAGCCGGATATAGACAAAGTGACATAGTTTAAACTGTAGATATCATTAAGCGAAGGCAGCTGTACGTTTTTATGTCGCGGAGATCATTCCTTTCAGTTAAGTGTCCATGCTTGCCGTTGATGGCTGGCTCTCGCTGGAGAGAGACCGATGCCGCCAAACATCGGGAGAGAAACTCGTCAGTGGGAGTATAGATTTTCTTAGGACGTCTATATCCGGTCAATACTGTTTAGTCTGACAATTGAAGTGTCTGTTGCCAATCATGGTGGCGTTGGATGATACTATTAATCGTATATTCTGGGCGATGAGTATACAATCTTCTTTGTTTCCAAGTTGTGTGGGATCAAAGACGTACTCCTACTGGATAAGGAGCTTGATTAATTTAACCGTTAATGTATCTTCATTATTCTCAAAAATAATCCAAGTCCTGTCCAAGAAAAAAGAGTCTACCAGGGGCCGGGCTATTCATTGGAACCCCGGATGGTTGATCGAATTGATTGGGTCATCTATGCGCCGGCGCTTCGGCGACTGATCTACGGCTGTGCGGAGGAGGTACTCGTTCGGATAATACTGCGGGCGGCCAGGTTGGCTGCCGCCAAAGCTTGTTGCAAAATTACCAGAGTGGTACGGGCTGGAACTAGTCATACTCAGAGCTCCACTGCCCCACCCAGTGAATGGAACCATGGTGCTGGCCATATGATTAGATGACCGGCCTGGTACTTGGGATGACTCAGGTGGCTGAACAGGCTGTGGTGGTTCAGAAGGTTGTGGGAGCTGTCGTGACTGCTGCTGTGATAGCGGCGACTGTTGTTGTTGTGGCTGCTGTGACTGCTGGGGTCGTTGGGACTGGGTTTGTTGATTTCGAGCGCGAGGCTGCTGGGGCTTTCGAGGCTGAGAGGGTTTCTTAGGTTTCTGAGGTTTTTGAGGGGATTGCCGGACATGGGTTGTCGGGTATGCTTGGAAGGACGAGAGTAATGATTCGAGTGATGCAGGTGGATTGCTAGAAGGAGCATTGCTGAGCAAAGACAAGGAAGTGGCTGTATCCTCGGGGTTCTGGGATTCCTGAGCCTCCTGGGGCTCTGGGTGATGTAGCAACTGAGGTATGGAGGCAGTTAAAGGCTGAAATGATGACTGGGTTGACTGCAAGGTCTCCGAGGGATGAGTTGGGGAGGCGTTACTGAGTATAGGGTTGGAATCTGCAGTGGGTTCATCGCGCCGAGATTCCTGGGTTTGTGGGGACTGCAAATCATACAAGGGTAGCGACGGGTCTTGTGCAGAAGATGATTTGAATGGCTCCATAGATAATGGCAACGGCGTAGTTATGCTGCCTGAGGCGTTACCGATCACCGGCGTAGAATCAGCAGTACTCTGGGGTTGCTGCGCCTCATGAGCTTCTTGTTGGTCGGAACGGTGTGAAGGTTGAGACATGTGATTTCTGGAGAACTGCTGGAACGTCGTGATGGACTGAGAAGGCGTAGAGGTATATGTTGAAGAGGCATTACTAAGGATTGGTGTGGAACTGGCGGTATTCAGGGCTTCCTGAGAGGGCTGTGTTTGCGCTAAGCGATTTGTGGGAGGTGGTAAAGATGTGCTGGATGTCTGACGCGCCATAGCTGCACGTCCATCAGAGTGTAAGTTGGCCCTGGGTGGTGGGTTTGAGGGCACCTGTGGTTCCTGATGTTGGGGTATGTTATCGGTCGGTAGCTGGGATGCCTGGGATGATTGAGATGGTGCAGCTGTAAAGTCCCCAACAGTAGTACCAACTATTGGCGTCGAAGCTATAGCGGTCGGGGGCTGCTGGCTCTGCGAGGCCGGCGGAGCAAAAAAGCCCTGGGCTTGTTCCGATCCCTTTTGAGGCTCTCTTGTGGCCACTTGCGGTGCCGTTTCATTAGTCTCCTTTGGTTCCTCCAGGGCCTTTCTCACACGACTAAGCATATCAACGCTCTTCGCCTGTTCCACTAATAAATGCGTGAGGAATCTCTGAATCCGAACAGCAGTGGCAGGTGGTCCACTTCGAATCTGTCGAAAGTACGTAGCACACTCAGCCTCAGTCTTCGGGATATGGAACTTCGAAAAGTCATCGTCCACGATCGAGCTGGCATCTTCCGCAAAGTGCCATGAGTGTGGCCCAGAGGAAGCACCGGGAGGAGGAGCACGCGGCGGAGGCTTCCTAGCGTCTATCAACTGCGACCAGGTCTTGCGGAAATCCGGGTGACGGATTAAAAAGCGCTGAGACCATTGACTTCCAATCGGCTGAAATTTCATGCCCAATTGAACACATTTCTCCCGATATAGATCATTTGCAACCTCCCAGATCAGCACATTGGTCGGTCGACGATCGTCTTGTTCCACCCGTCGCAGCGCCTCCTTACCGATCGAGTCCTCGTCTGTTGCATCCAGTTTCTGCAGGGGGTGCGCTGCTTCCCGCCTTGGTAACCGCGGCCCCTTCGCCCGACGCTTGAGCATACTCTGCGAGATTCCCCATGCGGCAGCAGCAGCTTTGAGGGTTTGATACTGACCGGCTCGTATGCCGCACGTGCTTGGGCAACTCGGGTCTCGTTCAGCAGGGAAGGGTCGGGTGGAAGGACGTCCTTTGACGCGGGTTGTTCCTCATTTGACTGTGCCTCCTCTTCCTCACTTTGCAGCTCATTGTCCAGATCATCCCATTTCCCGGCTTCCTGAAGGTGCAAGGCCTGGCTAGCGATCTCAACTGCCCGCAATGGCGCTTCATTCACAACCTCCACACTGATACTCTCATTTGTTCTCTTCCCACCATCCTTTTTCTTCTTCTTACTGATTTCCGGCTTAACAGGGATAACAACCGATAACCCTGTATGCTGTGTCGAAAGCCTCGACTGCGGTCTTGATCGGGTCACCCTCGAGCGGGTAGTGGTAGCGTTGGAACGCGATTTACCTGTACGGGCGGATCTCCGTCGCAAGAATTGCGCGCTCTTGGGTGCTTTTCTCGGGATTAGTTTTCTTAATTATAGGAGCTAGGACAGCAACGAACTACTTACGCATCCTGCGGATCCGTCTTCAGGGGACGGGGCGTGATGCGGTTGACCCGATCTGAGCTCTTTGGGGAGATTTCCTGATGTGGATGGCCGATAAGCATCGGCAGTCATGTTCTTCCGGTGCGTATGGGGAACTCGGCCCGGGTGGGGTTTGTTTGCTTGGAGCTGAGGTGGAGCTCAGTCATTTGGGTGCCTGACCTATCGGGCATGGTTTGCCTGTTATTGTACATTAGTACTTCACCTTTTACTTGCTCAACATACACGAAAACACAGAGAGAGACAAAGAAGTGCATAACAGGTGAAGCCCATCCTTGAGTATGACCAGACGCTATCAGGGCATGAACTACTAGCAAAGGATCCTTGGTCTTGTTATACATTCCGCTGAGCTTCAATCCCCATCTAGCTGTGCTGTTCATATCCTAACTGCATATTTGCGTAACTCTGATACACGTCATTACAAATGCTTACTACTTAGTGGGCATGATATACACAAATCAGTCAGTGGTCGTCCACAACCACCACCATCCAAACACCAACCTCACCATTACTTGCTAGCAACGGCGTACAATGAACCCATCGATCTCTGCCCTGGGGATTGAATCTTGTTACCCATTTGATACGCGCAGTTACACTGTTCCCGGCCATGAATGCGTCCAGCAAATCTTCCCGTGTTGACGCGTTGCCGCCAATACGTGACAAGAAAGAGGACTGAAGAATGCCGGGAATCTGGAGAGCTGGCGAGGTAAACAAGATCCGGAGAGACGGATAGGGCCGAACAAGGAGGTACTAAGACAATTAGCACTAAGGCGGCCTGGGAGATACAAAGGGTGGGCAAGCAAGGGCCAGACAAGGAAGACGTACATTTTCGTATACGCCCGTTAACGAACCCCGAAATAACGCGGTCTTTATATCTCTATCGCGTATGGCCTCCATCTCCACTGTATCCGCCGTTGACCAGGTGCGATTATGACCTTTCCAATTCCGATCGTACACTGCGGGGCCAGGCTTGAAAAGACTCCCTCCCACCTGGTGCACCACATTCAGTTCTCGTGGACTGAACAACTCACTGAGCTCGCGGAGCTCGTCTGCACGAATGTCCTCCTTTATCGTTGCGTCTTCTTCGACATCAGCTCCTGCTTTCATGTTTCGCTGCTTGTCTAACAAAGCGCAGAGCGAATCCATCTGCGCACCTTCCATGGCTAGGCCGGACACATCGATCTGGGCGCCAATAAAGTACCGAACTGTTCCTTGACTATCACAGAGGGGCGCGCATTGAAGGAGGTTCATAAATGGAGAACCGTCGCGGCGACTGTCATATCGATCAGTAAATATTGCTTTCTGTGATGGGCCAGACTCCAGTACTGCGTGCTTACTAGTTGAGGAAGAGTTCTGAGTGATGTCTTCCTGCTTCTATAGCCTCTCTGATTCTCCTTACACTATTCGGGTTTGTCTTGGGACCCTGAAGGAAGCGACAATTGCGACCGAGAACATAATCCATGCCGTACTGCGTCGTGCGATGGAACTCTGTTTGTTTCTCCATCAACGTCCAGCCTACATGAACAGCCCACCTGGGTGGTAAACCTACCTCCTGATGCAAATATAATTGGATTGTCCCGTCTGGACGGATCGGTCAAACAGAACACCTCAGCCAGCGCATCGGATGTCCCCTGGAATTTACGCGGGAGGGTTCCTCGCACGCGTTCCTCAACTACCCTACTCGTGATTCCAATGCAGCGCGAGGTGATAAAAGCAGGAAGCTCCTCGTCCGTGAGTGCTTGAAGCGCTTCGTGGACACGGCGCTGAAGGGCAGGATTCGAGCTCTCTCCGACCGGTTCCGTGATCGCGATCGTCGGCGGAGGCAAGTCGACGGCGCATCTGACCAGAGCGTTGGCGTACTCAATTGCCTTTAGCGCTTTACATGTGTTCAAATAGTATGTCAGTAACTCAAGCGACCGCGGACGCTCTTCAAGGAGGAACTCGCGAAAGCGCGCGAGATATCGCGGGTTGTTGAGGATAGATAGCATGTGCTCTGCAGAGAACATGATGTCTGCGAGACGCTCCAAGCTGTGCAGGGGCGCCTCGCAGGAGTCGCTAAAAGGAACGATGAGGTCATAAGAGCAACCAGTCTCTTGGACAGGATGGAATTGGTCAGACCCATCCCAAGGATTTGGCTCTTGCAGGAGTGGCAGTTCATGGATCATGTAATTTCTGCGGAGGGTTTTGATGGAAGTCCGTGGGCTGTGTGCCGGTATGCTGTCGAGGTTGCGCGCGCCACTTGGAGGTCGTGGAAAGGAAGTGATAAGCTCGTCGGGAGGACTGTGATTGTGGCTGAGTTTGGGTCTTAGGGTTACGTTGGAAAGCGCTTACTTTGACGGGGGATAATCATCCAATGCGACCGTAGAGGTGTACGATCGCAGAGAGTCTGTGTCGAAGCAAGTATATCTTTCCATGGTGTCGGTTTGTCCAGCGCTCGCAATGAATCGTTGGGTTCATCCTGTTTTATAGCCCGAGGTCTTGTATACGCCGCCGTGATATGTCCAAAGATCGCTCCTGGGCTGTCGCTTCTTGACACCATATTCAGGTAGCGAAAGGCAACCTTTGCTTTTAAATATCAAGCGATCGACCACATTGAGTGAGTGTATAGAACGATCGATCGATGCGCTGCAGATGTCAACCACGAGATCGGGATGCGCAGTTCGCGGATGATGTCATGGTGCAGGAGACATATCATCTTCCCGGAACCCTTTCGATACTAAGGTGTGGGATATTCTAGAAACTATGGATTGTGGCTGTTGAAGGTGTCTAGACCATGGATTCGAATCAATGGAAAAGGTATCCGACAAAGATTGTTTTCTGTCTGATACTTTTCCGTCTTGGCCCGACGTAATCCGCCGTAGTCCTGTTCTAGAACTGGGAAAGTAGAGCCCCTGGTGGCTCTCTCTGAGATGTTGGGTCTGTTTCCAATCGCGGACTATTCAGATGCGGGCATCATTCGCCGCAAGGCGATTAGCGTACTCGCGACATATGCTCGGCAGGAGACACTCTGGGCGAATAGGCAGAGTTACATTACTGCGAAATATGGCATCGAATTGAAAGCATCATCGGCGTATCTTCCCTTGGAGCTCCTAGTGCCTGAGGATCGACATCGGCGTTTAAACACGAACCTTCGCAGCTGGCCAACTGGCAACCCCCAGTAGGTTCAGCTCACACAGAAGTCAGATACGGGGGATGGATGGATACATCAGGTCGATTGTATCTGGCGGTAGGTCGTTGGGGATCGACAGCATTTCCTCGCAATATATACATTGATAAGTAGATACATAACACGTTCGGGATATCTTTCTGGTACGCTATAGCCAGCCAGCAGTTTAACAGGCATTACCAGGATCAATAACCATTCAATATCCATCCCTGGGCTTATTGTCCGCGTCACGGCCCTGTGCAGCCGACAAGCTCTGCACCATAGCATTGCCGATAGCCCCCTGGTCCGTAATGACCGACACCATGTCGAAGCCTTGTTCAGCATATCCGCGGGCCTGGGCACCATCCGTACAGAAGATCGCCGCCTTCTTGCCCGCAGCCTTGGCAGCTTTCAAAATGCGCTCGATAGCTGCTTTGTGCTCATCTCCGCCGCGGACGACACCAATCTGTTTCGCGAGATCGAATGGGCCTAATGCAATATTAACACATGTCCTCGGCACCTATGTCTTCACCGTGTAGTCGTCAGCCATGGTAAACGTACCGATCAGAAGCACATCCAATCCCTCCACCTTGGCGATTTCCTCGACACTGTCCAAACCGGACTTCGACTCGATCTGAACCATGACCATCAAGTTCTGATCGGCGTTGTCGTCATATTGACCTCCAGCCTGGACACCGGGAAAAGCGTGGGGCGCATACAGTGGCCCATAGCCTCTGCAACCGACAGGGGGGTATTTGCAGTACCGTACAACACGACGGGCATCCTCCTATCGACCGAAGAACGGGAAGACAGTGAGTTTCTCAGCTCGAACACGAACGCATCAACGCGTATCACCCCGGCCTCGCTAGTGATGGTCCGGTGACTGGGAAAAGGTGCAGAACTCACCACTGAGTGGCACATAGGAGTCAGAATTCCATGAGCGCCAGAATCCAGAGCACGCTTGATCATCCATTCTTCCTGCCAGGGCACGCGGACAATCGGGCTGGCGCCTTCCGAGGCAATCGCTGTTGTGAGCTATATCTCCTAGTTAGTTGTTGTGTGGGTCCGCGCATATGGCAAAACGTACGTCATAGTAATCTCTGTCTGTGATCAGTCCGTGCTCTGCGTCGACGAGGACCCAGCTGAAGGCCTCGGCCGGCGAGGCGGTTGCAGCGCGGAGGATGGTACGGGCGACGGGGGCGCTGGGGAAGCTGTATATTGTGAATGCGAGTTAGTTGGGTGTCCTCAATGGGGTTTCCTGATGATATTGAATTCAGACAATACTGCAGGCTCTCCACGACGCTCTGGGTGCAAACGAGCTCGGGGGAAGTACAGTGGGGGGAATGCGGGGGAGGAAATACGGACGTAAGCCAGAAGCCGTATGCCGTCGATTGGCGTGCGAGAGAGGTACGGAGCGCAACGTTCAAGGCCATGGTGAAGTTTTTGATCTTGAGGGTTTGAGGTGATTGTAGAAGTGAGCAAGAGAAGTAAAAAAGATTACCAAGTGATGTCTTTCCTCCTCGGCAACTCGCAAAGATGTTTACCCCTCGTCTCGGGGTAAATCCGACCGAGGAAGTGTGGGGAAAGCACACGGCGCGATAAGGGCTATTGAGTGCGTGCCAACCACAGTCGCATCTCTATTTCCAGCATCGTCCCTGTCATCGGTGTTCTTGCCGGAGTCTATCTTTTAACTAATCACTCGGTTACACGTCTGATTGCCTTCGATCGGGGTTATCCCGCGACGTTGGAGAGAAGCCATATGTATTTCGAGACATCGTCGGGCGAAGCAGACAACGAGATATGTACACAAGTGACGGTATTTTGAGAGCAAGACACAACAATGCCCAGAAAAACCGTCTTGTAACACCTAGCATGGCCTTCAAAGGTTTCCCTGGCCAGCACTGCTTGGCACTGAGCTCTGCGCATCAGTATACGGGGAAGCCGACGCGATATTCTTGCCCTCGAAGTTCACCAGGAAGGCTGTATCCGCTTGGCTGAAAGCACCCGAGCTACCAAACCCATTGACCTCGCAGTTGCGACCGAGGTACGTGGCGCAAACGACGTTGGTGTTCGTATCGGGCGATGTGAACAGTTGTCCCTCAATCGGCGACTGCACGGGGGTGTTGATGTTTTGGAATACGTTGCCCTCGGCAAGCACGTAGCCGCCTGCTCCGATCTCGAAGGCATGGCCGGTCGAGTCGTACCAGTAATTGTTGACCTGATCTGTGTTAAGTGCTGGTCCAGTACACGGGAAGGTAACGGTGGACTTACGGCATGCAGCAGTGTGTTCTCCTGGACCTTGGGGCTGCGACCGCTAAAGTGATGGACGTAGTTGCCTTTGAAAGTGATAAGGTCGCTGGAGCCAGCGAAGTAGATGCCCCAGTATGCGTACCCGTCACACGTGGCGCTGTAGTCGGAGACACCGTTGAAGTAGCTATTGGACACAGTCACGCGGTTGTCGGCGTCATTTCCGAGGACGAGGTGCTGGCGACCAATTCGGGCAGTCTGGGAAAGGGGTCAGTATAGGCCTTTGTTGAGCCCAGCTGGGGATAGATGACGGACCGTGACGTGATCAATCCAGACCATATCCGCGTCGTTGAGGGTGATGGCATCGCCTCCCCACACGTATTTGGGGTTGAGATCTGTGATGGCAATATTTCTGGATAGAATTAGAAGTGAATTCACGCAGAGAACGGGCGCTATACGTACTGGATGATGATGTTGCTTGCACCGCTGACAATTCGAAGGCCCTTGCCTTTGATAACACCACTGGAGCCCGACCCTAGGAGGGTCTTGTCCGATGCGACCGTTATTCCGAGTATACCGGCATTGTCACTGTCGTTGTATCAGCGGGGATAAGAGTGATCTATGCAAAGCTAATACTCACTATGTGACGGATGCCGAAGGCGCGTCGGGTTGATAGTTGGTGCACCAGTCATTCTGGTTAATGGCAAGTTGACAAGCGGCAGCAGTTCCCCATGGTGCACACCCCGTGCCCGTAGTGGTGCCTTCGGTGCCCGTGAAGTCAAAGCTACTCCGATTAGATTCAGGAGCCTCATATTCCCGCGATGAAATACTCACGTGCGGTCCAGGACAATTACACGGGGAGACGAATCACCGAGGTAGGACACCAACTCGTCCGTCGTGGTGGGATACACAGTAGCAGCAGAGCCACCGCCAGTCACACCCTTGGCGAAGCCCTCTGCAGCACCAGACACGCTGGCTGCGCTTGCAACGGGGAGAAGTCCCGCGGCGACACTGGATAGCAAAGCAAACTTCATGTTGAGCGCAATTGAAGTCGATATTCTGATCAAGCAGGAGAACAGACGATCTCCTGCAGATATTTATCCATTTATGGCGATCATCGACACGCCTTGTCAGGCGATGTAGGAACCATGGGGGAGGTGTACTCGGTTGATCATTGGTGGATTCATTCTCTGAAGAATTGAAATTAGGGTTAAGGTAGACGTCCATCATGTCCGGAAATCTGCCGGCGTCCGACTCTCGGCACTTTGCTGCGAGCGTCGCACCGATTGGAGGGTTTGCCCATAATCAGTGCATCTGAAACGGGTTTAATTTCTCCGAGATGATGGAGGACTGGATACGTGATTCTTGGCATGTTGGGGAATGGAGCATTGCTAGTAGTGGAAAGCATAGGAAGCATATGCCCAGAACGGATCTATGAGCTGCATCAGACGCACGCAGAAATGACAGACACGGAAAACCCCAATATATTCACTCGAGAATGGAATATGATACAATTCTAATATGAGATACAGCTGACCAACGCTTAGTCCTCAGCCCGTTATCAAATGCCAGCGGTCTCCACATTGCCCGTTCAGCTATACCAGTCATTGTTGCGCCATTTGACCTATACTCGCATTAGCAAAGACAAGCACCCAGTAAGGGGGGGGTAATGCAATCAAATTCTTACATAAGAAGTGTCAATTTTCTTCAAGTCGCCCAGGCCCAAGTTACCAGCATCAATGGCGATCTCATGCTTGAGGAGTTGAATCGCGCGCTTGACTCCCTCAACACCGTAGGTGTTCGCAAACATGAACGGACGACCGAGCCCGACGGCCCTGACGCCAAGGGCAAGGAGTTTCAGTACGTCTGCACCGTAACGGACACCGCCATCTGCATAGATTTCAATCTGCTCAAAGAGCTCTGGAGCTTCCTGGTGGATCTCAAGAGCAATTTCAAGAGGGGATGGGGAACTGTCGAGCTGACGTCCACCGTGGTTGGAGAGAATGACGGCTGGGGCACCGTGCGCAACGGCCAGCTTCACATCCTCCACGGTCTGGATACCCTTCAGGACGACAGGCAACGAGGTCATGTTCTGAAGCTTCTTGTAGTAGTCCCAAGTGATGTAGCTGTAGTCGCTGTCTGCCGACCCGACGCCGTAGCGAGCGGCGCGATGACGGTTTCCATCTGCTGCAGAGTCGACTGTGAAGACGATCGCCTTGCTACCAAGCTCCTCCACATGCTTGAAGAGCTGTTTCGTCTCGGTGTCATTGTCGGTGAGATACACCTGCTGGAAGAGAACCTGGGAGCCATTAGCTGGCTTGGCAGAGGCGATCTCATCCACGGAGAGAGATGCATAGAGCGACGGGATATACAAAATATCCTCCTCATAGGCAGCTTTCACGAAGTTCTTCTCCGCCTCCGGATGAGCAAGGCCTCCACGAGCGCAGGGGCTAATATAGAATGGGGCGGAGAAGTTATGGCCCAGGATGGTTGTCGGGAGTGTGGACTCGATATTGGTGACGTCGACCAGCATGCGTGGCTTGAAGCGGAACCGGCCGTACACCTCCAAGTTGTTCCTGTAAGACCATTCACCAGCCGCGCCGTTGCGGTAGTATGTGTATGAGGAAGCGTTCATGTAGCGTCTGGCAGCCCATTCGAAGTCGGGAAGACCGACGATGCTTTTGAGCTCCGGAAGGGTGCCCGCCGGGGTGTCGCCTAGGACATCCTCGATGCTGGGTCATCTGCAGTCAGCTTGTGTCTAGTCAGCAAAGCTTGCTTTCCATACCCAGTATCTGCCTCATTGAGGAAAGGTCGAGATGCAAGAGCTGCCGGGAGAAATGGAAGGAGAAGAAGCGTGGAACGCATCCTGAAAGGAGTGACTGAGTTGAACCTGAAAAGAGTGTTATGTGAGAGCCCAGCCTTGTGAGATCTACCGGGAGAGTGTGCCTAATATATTCACTACACCACTACGGCTTACCCGGGCATCGGTATATCATCGGCACTCCGTCAGATGTCACAAGTGCCTTCCCGACCACATGGCACCTAATCTCCGGCCTTGGCCTTGGCCTTGGAAGGCAAGTAACACGCATTTGACACAAATGACCCAGAGTGATCATGGGTGCCTGGTCAAGCATGCCAATGCTGCTTGATAATGATGACCAATCCACCGTATGACGACGGAACATGGCCGCGATGAGAGAAAACGATCAGCGCTCATCGTGAGCTTTTGCCAGAAACCGTTAGACTAAGAGTATCATAACCTGCCTTGGCGGGGACAGCTTAATATATTTTGAGTCAATATACGCAGAGATCTAACCGCATCCATGGTGTATAATATGCTATCATATCAATCAAGTCTCTGTTAAGACGGTGGCCGATCTTCAGGGTGGAACGCCAAGCGCCCTAGTATAGCTCTGGAGGGATCTGATAAAACTCCAGATTGGACCCCAAGGAACGGGATGCGTTCTCCACCGGACTCCGGCCTCCTACGGGGTGAGACAGAATGCAGGCCAGAACGATTAGACAAGAGATCAAGGCTTGGCATCCCAGGGCCCAGGTGCCCTTGCTGCACAGCCTCCTTTCAGTACCGAGAGTCTTCATGGCGAGTTCTCTACGTAGCCTACATGCTTGGTATACTCATATTCTTAGTCAAGATTATGGCCCTGGCATTAATTCATAACCCAAGGAGTACTGACAATAATGTTCGGGACAACTCTGTGAGGATCGAATTTATGCAACAGGGAATCACTATGCATCCACTGGCGGTCATTGCGTCAGGCCAAATTCCGCTAAACGAACTATCTTCCAAGCCAAGACTTGTTAATTTCCGTGATGAAACTAACTCGGTCAATGATTACATCAGTGGGTTTGAGATTGAATAGGCCAATGATGGCCTCGACTCTAGAGACGGTCTCATCAAGGATCCACAGGAACCAGCCTTTCGAAGGCCTTGGTGCATTCGGATAAATTCACTCACATTATGAAACAATAAGTACAGAGTAAAGTGACCCTCATCCCGCTCAAATACTTTCTAGGGGTTGGGCATCACTGTTTCAACTCACATAACAACATCGACCTGAGGATCACGTCTTTTATTATGCGTACAGCGTGTACACAATGCTGGAATATTTTACTAATAGACAATGAAACACCTACCGACATGGACACCTTGGTGGTTATGCCTATTTCTTTTTCGAAGCTCTCGGATCAGATAACGAATGATGAGCGGAAATAATTTCCGAACGCCACACTATTCGCTTGCATGTCCATTCAAGCAAGGAACTACGGCTAAGATACCAAGTAGAGTAGTACCCCAATCTGATGTACCCCTCTGAACGAAAAGCGCTATTTTGCATAGCAGTGATCAGGTAAACCCGGTATACCCCGTACAAGAAGTGGCAGGGCAGCACAGTGGCCAATAACAGACATCCCTGGGTATCTCTCGGACTCCTGCGCTCTGTTCCTAGACGGAAAAATGTTTTTAAGCAGATACTCCGTTCTAGGAAACAGACATAGCCGTAGCATGTTTTGAATCATGTTCTAAACTGAGTGAGATGCTGTCTAACAGGCGCACCCTTCCGTGACTTCGAGAATGTAGGGGCAGGACCTTGAGTATGGCTGGGTTCGTTTAGGATGGAATGTAAATCATGCCGAATCTCCGACCCCCTCCATGATTAAAAGTTCTTTGCCGTTTTATTATACTAGTGCGCAAAGGTGTCAACTATGGGATTTGAAGACACAATGATAGAAAGTGCTTGGGAGCCACTGTATATCACTTTAAAAGACTAGTGCTGAAGAGACCAGGAAGGCCCCTAAGGTTCAATTCCGGAGGAAAGGATGACAAGTTCATTAAAAGAGGTGGAAGCGTTTTTTGCACGAGAGCGGTAGCTGCGTATGATAGTAGGCAGCCTGAAGTGCGCTATCGGTGCAGGGGCACTCCGATTACTATACAACTCTCAGTCCACTGGGTGCAATGGTGGAACCCTTCGACGGTTTCTCACCACGTCTCTAACGAGGACTGTGTCGTGCGCGTCGATTCAGCTAACGACAAAAGCTAGAACCCGATCGCCACCAACAGGTCAGGCGCAGTAAATCATTCCTGATTAAAATGAAAGGAAAATCAAACCTCTGGTTGATACCCGTGCGCCTTGTTCATGGTCTCGTTGAGACATGCTATATAATCGGACGTATTGATTTATGGAGCGTAAGTAGTGATGATAAACTGTGACGCTATTTCCTTCTAAAGCGAAGATCAGATCTCAATAGTATCACTTTATACGAGGAGTCCTTCAACCAGATAGGGCCACTTCATCGCGTGAATCATGCAGATCACTAGTGCAGACTGAAATGACAAAATGAGGAAATGTCAAGGCCATGGAGGTCTCTGGCTGCAAGTTTTCTCAACGCTGATTCTCACTGCCGAGTACATGCGGGGGGCACTAGTCATGCAATCCTTTAAGGCGGCGTTCTTCCCTGGTGCTGAATGGACTGTTTTCAGGTGCGAAACAGGCTAAGCGGTCGTAGGCTCGAATATCTTCTACGGTGAGCTCTGTGGTCACTTCTCATTAGATGGAAGAGGATGCCGCCGCACATCGCGATCGACAAACTGAAGACAGAATACGTTAGTGTCAGTTCATTAGTGGTGAGAAAAGAGCTATTCCCCGGCTGCACGAACCCATTTCAATACGTCGCATAAGGAGCACAAGGCCATTTCCACTTATAGCATATGTGTGGGGTCATTAGTATCGGGGGCAAGGCCTGAAAGGCCTCCTCGTTGTGATGGATGTAGTTTGACATGCAGAATCTAAACATCCAGGCATATGCGTTGCCCATACCATAAGTTCAGTGCAAAAGTACATTGAACATCACCCATCCTGACTATATAAACCCCAATTGTGCTACTACTTAGATTTTCTTCATCGGCTTCATTCGATTTATGTTGAGTACCGGCTACCTGGTACCGCGGTTCGAAAACTTTGTGATTGATTACTGACACATCAAATCGACGCATCGGTAAGACTGGCAAAGACCATATCATGTATTGCGACAACGGTGTTCCTCGCCCAGTTGCCGAGTGTGGCCCAGGAACTCATTGCGACTACCAAAACGGTCAACCGGGATGTTTGCCCCTTTGAGGCTGTCTCTCTTACGGCGTGCTGTTTTCCCAAATGACAGGCTGAGTCCATGTATTAGTGGACAGGGACATGATCACAGACGTGGGGGGTCCGTCAGTGAGGGGGATCAAGTCAAAATAGCTACTCTCTGATCAGACGGAAAATCCATGAGCCCAGTCTATGGCATACATGGTAGCTCTCCTACAGACTATAACTCATCTTCTGATTCTCATTGTATTGAAATATATAATAGGGGGGTAGGCAGAGCTAGCTCTCTGAGCCTGGGGTGTAATACCATGGCACCCTGAAAGCTGGACCATATAGGTGAAGATATTTATTTAGGTAGCTAGATTACAGTATCCTCGCAAACAAATGCCCACAAGCCCCGACGGTAATTCTGTTGTATACTCTCATGCATGCACGGCATCGATACCATGATGAGGTGAGAGGCTGGTTCTTCGGGAATCATCACTTGAAATCATTTCCGACTAACAAGCGTGGCCTGTAGTCCCTTAGAAATCATTCGGGTTTAGTTTACTTGTCTATGGTCGCTGGCGGCCTGAACTGTGTTGCTCAAATCCAGCTCTAACATCTTGCTCGATTTGTAGATAAAAGCATAGTATGCCACTACTGGAAAAGGAGCTAAAAATTATGATGCACAAGTTAGTAAGGATCATTTCTTTCGGCTATTTGCGCTGTTGCGGGGAGCCTTTGCTGAGGGTCGTGCAGAATGCTCGAAAGCTTGATATCCTGACTGCTCTACTGGGAGACTACCTTGTGAGGACACCGGACGGCTGTGTCGCAGTGCGTATCCTCGAAGATACTATAGCCACGAATATCGAGAATCGCACGGCTATGATGCTGGCTGAGCTGCAATCAGACTGCCGTCAGGCGCAGTCCTCAGCGAACAGGGTCATTCGCCCCAGGACCGTCGACGAGCAACCTGTACAGCATTGCCTTGGGAGGAAAATGGTGTTACATGCCATAGGTTCACACAGGTTGCTGTGGGCATTCAGATCGCGTTCAGAGAGGGAAGTGTCCGCCATATGCAGGGTGCAGCATGGGTCATTTGTCTATAATGATAGACGTCAGCCTGGCTGGGCTCAGTCACACTTCCCTTAAGCAGTTGTACTGACGGGATTGTCCAGTTCGTATAGACCATGAGGCCCCAACGGCCTGTATCAATGCCGCACACATATACGACCACCCGCCTAGGAATTGTATCCACGTCGTACCATGGTTAAGGCGAACGACGCAGCCTGGGAGACTGGCTTCATCGTGAGCATGTTTTGCGTGATCGGTCCGGAGCTGAATGGCAATCTGTTAGCCTGATCAGCGAGAGGGGAAAGATATACGTGCAAGGTATGGTCTGGGAGGAGAAGAACCCGGTCCGGTGTTCTATCGCGAACTGGGCTGTCGGGGTTGAGGAAGACTTAGCCATAATCGTGGACGTCCTTCGATCGGGAGTCGCTCAGTGGAAGGGTAGGAAGTTTCATGTTGAGCTGCTTCTTCGTGTCATGTTTACGGCATGCCGGATAATAGTGGAGATTGCCGGACGCGCCGAGTGTTGACGTGACATGTCACATCGAATAATAAACAACAGCTTTGGAAGCACTCGGTCCGTGCGCAAAGACATTTCTGAAATATTTCGAAACCCTGTTCTTCAAGCATCGAATGGTCCACAACACCCACCAGGTTTACCGGTACTGTGGGAAGCCTTCAAAGGCGTGGGTCTTCAATGACAGCAATGCTCTGACGCGTTTATGCCAATCGCGGCCTGTAAGAAGGCCTCGGCATATTCTGCGCCCGTTCTCGACAAAGCGAGCATTCCGAAGTCCTTATAATAGCTGACTGACGTTACACTCAGGTGGAACTTTCAGCCAGCGCCCATTTCCTTGTGGCTTGCTGTCAAGAGAGCTGGAGAGAAAACACATGCTTCGGAAGACAAATTGGTAAACACAGCGCCTGGTTTGCTTGGGCGGTTTCAGGGATAATCTCGCGGCAACGGGAGCAATGGACAGGGCAAGGGATACTACTTGAAAGTTGGAATGCTCGATTATTTTGTCACTCATATTCATAACAAGGCGTTGAATTCTTGTTTACAGTGGTAATGCCAAGGAAGAGAGGATCAACAGCTGCCGAAGCTTATGCTCGGATAGGTGTCAAATTGATGTAGAGAGAGAGTATAGGATAGGGATGGGTCAACACGACAAAGTATGAACGTCAGCCAGAATTTAGTATACAATCTAGATAAAAATGGTAAAAAGCTTGAGATCGAATATATTGATTTAGGTATGTCCTTGTGGAATATCAAGCATCTATGGCCCAGTGTATAGTTGTGAGGATACAATTGCTGGTAGTATATATATATTGTTGTCAAGCAGACGTGCGTAACCCACCATGTCAGACAAACAGTATACTCCAAAGTGACGCTTGCTAAACACTAATGCTACGAATATTGACAAAGCAAGAATGGAAAATTGAAATATCTAAGCATTTACATTAAATTTAATCTAGTTAAGCATCATGGAAAGTCTTATTACTGTAGAAACAGCAATTATCCGTAAGCACTGATCGCCCGCCAAGTACAACGCTTTATCCTGATTAAGTTTGAAGAAGGCCAACCACTCGCTGGACAGATTGGGATTGCTAGTTAAATCACAGAAGATGAATAGTTATGTACCTAGGTATCTGGGACAGGAGCAACAGAATCTAAATGGTATCCAGACGTCAGTGGCGGTGTGGTAGTGGCTTGTCAGACCGCCATGGCTTTCTCTGGCCCTGGAAAAAAGAAAAGAACAGAAAATAAAACAATAAACACAAGCAATTAAAACAGCAAGAGAAGAAGTAAACTGTACTATTTCTAGGCTAGATGTATTGCTACTGGCCGAATATGAGAGAGGTGGCGGCGTGGCGCTAACTTATTCCCTCATATTATACTCCAAAATTGTAAAGCTGAATATCCTATCTTAAAGCTAGATAGAACTGTGATTGACCGCAATTTGGGGGGGGGTCTATGTCAAACAGTGACAAGCATTTCCCAAAGAAGAATAAAATAAATAAATAAACGAGCAAAATTCAAAAAAAAAAAAAGGCCAAGTGCGAGAACTGGCGATCAAGCGTCGTCTTTGCTAAACAAGTGCCGAAGCGGTTGCTTTCCTGGGCGACAAGCTTATGCCTTCGGAAATGCAGAATCGGGTGACTGTGCACCCAGCCAGCCATTGCAGAGTGGTAGTAGAAGGTGGTAGACTTGTATCATCCTCTCTCCGGGTGCGCCCCTGATTTCGCCTTTGCAAAGGAGCGACATTTTTGTCCAAGCCCCTCTTTACAACCCTCCTCGGTTAAGACATCGCTTAGGGCATCTTCAATGCTCTTGTCAAATAGCTCGCGATGGCGCTACACGTGCAGAACCAGCATAGACTTGCATCAAGTTAACAGCTGAACTCCTCCTGAATAGATGCAGCATGGTCCACTACACATATTGTATGTAGTAATGAATGCTGACGATCGGCATGCCCCACTGCATTCCTAGCCGCTTCGGTACGCCCAACGGGACATTCCGTACTCGAGGGAAAGAAAAAAAAAACAATAAAAATAATAAGAGCAATTGCTTGTATATGAGAAAGTTCGTCTAGTAGTTATGTACAATTGTCGTGATCCGTATAGCCTCTTCAAACTGTAGAGTAATATTTATGGCACAGTGCCGTGTATAAGTCGGGATGTGGGAGAGGGATATGCGGGCCGTGATCGAAAGCTCATAAGGTATCCCTGGTTCGGAGAGCCCGATAGTGCACCAGCGACATCAAAAATCTCAACAATCCAAGAACGGAAAGATACCTACGTTTTACCCCTGGGGGTTTCATTGCGAACTTCTAGCGTGGGTCCAATCAATCAGGTTGTTGTTGCTCTCCATGGCGGGTGGTCGGAACTGGAATGTAGCCCTAACTAGAATCTAGATAGTCGAATTCCTCGGATAAAAGAACCACTACCCATAAACAAAGAGATAAACACAACAGAATCACGCATGGATAAATTAGCAGATGGCGAGAACAGAATAACGGATGTATCTGAACAAGGAGGCAGTACGCAATTCAGTGCGCGCTTGGGCAGCGGGCTGAAGAAGTGTGAATCCGGGGAAAAGCTCAAGCTGAACAAGGCAAAGCAGAACTAGCGCTATTTGAATATTGCATGTGGAATACAGCATAAGTCAAGACATAGGTATGCTTTTTGTGACAAGGGGCAAAGGAAATGTGGACCACAAACCCCCTGATCTCTTGCCTGATGCCCTCGGATCTGTTCGTCTACCTGCATGAAAACCTGACTCGAAGCTGGATTCTTCAGTCGTCTGGCATTCTCAGATCTACATCCCATGTTTCGAGAGCAAGCAATAGCACAGTACAAACAGCCAAACACGGCAACAAGCATTCCGTATTGAATTTGGCGAAATGAGGGGAAATGAATCCGCCAACCTGATGTATTTGTAAAAAGCCACGAAGCGCCCGGCGTTCCCTGTGGTTCTGTTCTTACCCCCCAATTCAGTATAATTAATGCTGCTTTGGTATATGCCACAGAAATCCTGGTTGCCATGCGAGCGGTAGAGGTGTCATTGGATAGCGGCCCGGTCTCGACCCCCCGTGGGTACGAGTCTCTGGCAGGCCGATTCGTTCAGAATTACAACGGAGGGCAAGCAGCTGCTAGTGCAGCACCCGTCGCAAATATGGACAACAGTCAAAATGGGCAATATCCAGGAACGGGCTCCCAGGCTTCCACGGGCTCCCAAGGCTCACAAAGCTGGCAGGGCTCCCAAGGCTCACAAAGCTGGCAAGGCTCCCAGGCTCCCAGGTTTCACAGGCTTCACAGGGTACACAGGGTACACAGGGTTCCCAGGGATCGCAGGGCTGGCAGGGGTCGCAGGGCTCACAGGGCTCACAGGGTTCCCAAGGGTCGCAGGGCGCCTGGGGTCAGAGCTGGGGAGGAGCACAGAGTCCTAGTCAGAACGTTGGTGGACAGGCCCTGGGGGCGAGTACGGTCCTTCAGCAAGTTGCGACCGAAAATACAGGTCAATACACCTGGAAGCCCAACGGGGAGGCAACTCAGCTGCAGACCAGCACTCAAAGCGGAGCCACAAGCAGTCTCAGTCAGTCAACGACCACCAGCCAACTGAGGACCACCAGCCAGACGAGCAGCACTACCAGCCAGGCGACAAGCACTACGAGTGGCACGACAACAACCCAGAGTCAATCGACCAGTACCAACACTCAACCGACAACACTGGAGACTCGCGTCTCTCACACGGCGACCGCAACGGCAACTGACGGTGCACATGAAGTCGCGGCGACCAGCACCGGCACAGCCCATCACGGGGTGACCAAGCTCGACACCAGCGCATATGCAGCGGTTGCAGTTTGCGCTGGGGTCGGAATCATAGCCGCGTTTGTCCTGTTCTCGTTATACCGAAAGCGGCGGCGGGCGAAAGCAATAGCTCGCGCGAAAGAGCTTAGAAGACGACATGGGGGACCGAAACCTGGACAGTTGGAAGCAAACAGCAGCGTCAATACCTTGCCGCAGCTCTTCCTCGCGAGCAAAACCGCACTCTTCAGCGTGGTTTCTCTACGCTCATCCAATGAGAAGGACGATTTTGGCAGCGATCGCGGTCCCGCGGAAAAACAGATACCACTGAGTGCCCCTCCTCAGTATGGGAAATCTCAACTCAGTGCCGTGAGTGTGCCAAGGAGTGCTGGGAGCCAGAGTGATAGTGGTAGCATTTCTGACGCCAGTACTGTCGCCGGCACTCCCTCTCGTCATCCAACATTCCGGCAGCCTACTGAACTCCATTACGATACCTGCAGCACATCTGATCATCCCTCGGACGATGGTGCCAGCGAACATCGCCCAGGACTGTACAGGCGGCTTACGGAGCGGGTCGCGAGCATTCGGACGCGTTCAAAGCAGCCCAAACGAGGGCATCGCCACTGTCTTAGCGCACCAAACGAAATCATTACCAATCGCTTTGCCTCTCCCATAGTGAGGCCGGTTCATGAGATAGATCACGATCGCCACAATACTTCCGACGATGATACTGACCAGAGTACACGCAGCCAACCTCATGGAATTCAGATCACAGAGAACCAGAATGAGTCTCGCAGCACGTCGGACGATGAAGCCGACAATTCCACGGAGACTCCCAATGATTCTCGCAGTACCTCCGGTGACGGTGGCGACCATAATGCTTCCTTTGAGCGTCCGCCACTCAAGACGAGGGGGAGCTTTAAGGAACGTGTCACCGGTCTGGCCAAGCTGCCCAGGATGCCCAGTATAAACTCCCTCTACAAAGCATCCGCCGCATCCTCCATCGAGGAGAAAGATCGCCCAGGGGCCAAACTATCCACGATTCCAGACGATGAAATGGAAGACAACCGGCTTGTCACCTCCTATGCGCCTTCCACCTTCAAGACATACTCCGTTGACATGGAATTCTCTCCAGTCAACGACACTCAGATCAAACTGGCTCTGGGCCAGTCAGTCATAATATACCAGGTCTATGATCACGGTTGGGTATGTGTCATTCTAGTGCCACTTCAGTCCTTCGTAATGTGAACTAATGGTTTTGCTAAAGGTACATTGTCTCAACCGCGACACTGGCCAAGATGGCCTGGCGCCGCGAGCCTGCCTCTCGATATGGCCAACCAACCGGCCCCCGAGCAACAGAGCTGTCAGCGATGTGACCTTGTATCCACCGCAGATGAACGTCTCTGTCACGTCGCTCGGCTCTTCACGCCCTATGTCCCCAATCACTCGCTTTTACAGCCACCGTTGTCCTTCTTCACCCGCAATTTAAAGTGGCGATTCCCTATGTGCACTCTCGATACCCAACATGTGCTGCCTTTTTGCAGTACATCCGCGTCAATTCTTGCAGAGCTTGAATGATGCTTCTCACTCATTACACCTTTTTCTTTAATGATGTATAGTAATACTAACCCTTCTTCGCAAGTATGCCATTCGCTAGCGAACTTTACTATGTAATATCAAAACTGTTGATATATAAGCAACGTTTTACGTAAATGGTTTACAACCCCACGCTCCAATCGCCTTCGTGTGCTATACATATCATAACAATGCGCCATTGTAGAACAAAACTGTGGCTCATGGCACCTTCCCTGTGTGGCTGTATTGTGATTCCTTGACCAAAATAGGATTAAATCATCGAGAACACACCGATAGCCCGACATATTCTGGATATTAAGGGGTTCTGACGACGACGGCTAAACTCCTTCATGTGCATAAGGCTGGGTCTCATGATGTGCCAGAATCCCCGGGCATCGTGTTTGTCCTCTCTGCTATGTGATATTAGACGCTCACTACCGTGCTTGAACCATGTCTCCTCACGAGCTATCTCCACAGCCGTAGTTATCGATAAGCCATCCTTGACCCAAAATCCTCGCCACCCCGTATCCCGCCCCACTCAATAGGCAACCATCTAGGCTGCGAGGCTTCAGTGGGTAATCATCGAATCCTGCAGGATTGTGATACCATACCAGAGACCTTGAAGAGTCCCTACGATGTGAGTCACTCCGGTTCTGGGGCATTCGGGGCGGTTCTAGAAGATGTGTATGAGTGAAATTAGAACATATATAAAGAGGGAGTGAAAAGGCTTGAAAATGCAATGTTATATTTGAACGACACAGAAAACAAGCCATAACCATGACCGAAACGACCGAACAACCGCAAACCACCCGCGGGTCCTGTCTCTGCGGGACAGTCAAATACCATGCCACTGGGGAACCAGTTCTCAGAATGATCTGCTACTGCCAGAACTGTCAGAAGTTTACGGGGTCGGTGGGAATGGCTAATAGCATGTACCTCAAGGAAGTAAGTCTCATCATCAAATCATGTATGACCAAACCACTAACATGATATAGAGCATAACCATAACCCAAGGCCACGACACACTTCGCACTTACAAGGATAACGCAACCCATAACGGCTCCACAGTTGAGCGATCATTCTGCGGGAATTGCGGGTCGAACCTGTTCTGCCAAAACAAGGAAACGGCTGCGGATTTCTTTATCGTGGCATCAGGCACGATGGATTTGGAAGCTGAGCAGACTTGGGTGCCGGTGGTGGAGTTCTTCTGCAAGGATAGGAGGGCTTGGTTGGACACGAATGTGGTGACGAGGAAGCATGAGCAACTTCCGAAGACGTTTGACGAAATCTGATTGTAATTGCGATGAATATCCGGAGCGTGAGATGCTGATCTTGGTATTTGTGAGAGCATTTGTACAGTGAACTGGGCTTGTTTGGGGAGTTGAGGCTGTTTATGCCAGTATGTATTTGATCGTGGGCAACTATCTGATGCTTTGTCCGAGGGAGTCAGGCCTACTAAGGGGTGGTGCTATCTTTTCTCCAATTTTCATGGGACTTGGGGGTGCGTGTTTAAATCATATGGAAGGTATAGAAATACCAATGAAAAATGAACATGATTTTAAAGGCGAAGGACCGCAAGTGTGAGGAAATAGGGCAGTTTTCAATTGGGTCATAAGTCATATACCACTTGCTGTCTATACTTATAGGACTATCGCAGCATCATGGCTCGGATTAGGACGAGTAGGACTTCTTGTTCGACAGCATCAGATCGGTTGACTCTACCGCAGACGGGCCCTATCTGACCCGTCGATGTACAGCTTCCTTCTAGAAATGCCGATAAACCTTTTGATCGAATTCCATGCTTGCGACGGGAGTTTAGCTTGCACATAGTACCAAATATACATGATAACTGTGAAACAAAGAACAGTACGCAGAAAACGCAACCAACCTACAAAAGAGAGGTACTTGGAACTCCAAATTTGAAGGGGCGTTGTCCAAAGATTTACGGTATTAGCTGAAGTATTATCGCGAATGTTCCTGGCGACAGCCACAGTTTGCTCAAGCGGTGACTTCCACAATAGACTATGCGACTAAACCATCAATATGGTTGATATAAGATCACAACTTACTGACTACCTGCTGTTCTCCAGAGTTGCGCTCAAGTATTCTCGTAGCTATTGTCATTTTTGCGCCTTTAGGGGCCGTGCGGTCGAGGATATAGCGAATGTGTTGCCCTCGCCTCGGCAACAGGTCGCACATCTTGACTCGGGTGAAGAGCTGAAGTTCCTTACGCTCTTCAGGCGAGAGTGCCTTTGATAATTCCACAGTTCTTTGTTCCGAGAAGGCATACGAGGCGCCAAGTAGTCTGTAAATGCGAGACAGATAATGCTGGTTTGGAGAATTCCAACCGCTTGGATCCCATACTAGTCTCAGATCCCAGGGATTCAGCCGGAATCGCACTGCTTGATGCCATGCGTCGCGTGTTTTATATCTTGCCCTCTTACCGCTCACAGCATGGAGGGCGCCAGCTGTACCGGCAGCAGCGTGGCTAATCACTCGGTCGGCAACGACATCAACAGGGACTTCATCGAAGGTTGCCTGTGAGTTAGGGTCGGGCAAGCTTGTTCCAATGCGCATATCCCCAGACTTGCTCGATGCCACCCCAGCCGTAAATATGAGTATTGGAGCGGACAAAGGAAGGCAAAAGCCGGGATATGGTACACTTTGAGAAGGTCCAATAATAGATGGACGAACGATGAGCAACTGGTTCAGCGCCCCATGGTCTTGAAAGCGATGAACTAGTAGCCGCTCAGTCAGATTTTTGGCGTACGCGTATGGCCAAGGGAAATCATTCTCTTCATAAACCCTACTCGTACCGTATTTTTTGACTTCGGCCAATTCCTCTAGGGCGCTAGCAGAGTTGTCCAGATCATAAATCCGCTCATCAACCTCAATATCACCTGTGTGGCTTGGGCGACCATTTGCGTATGCAGTGGAGACATATACGAACCGGTCAAGCTTTGGACATGAGGTAGCAAACTCTCCTATCATGTCACTAGCCCGGATGACAACGTCTAACAGACCGGCCAGATGCTTAGCAAGGTGGGTCGAAGATGCCGCATGAATAATAACATCCACATGTGCTCGCACCATTTCAAGATTATTCTTCGGTAGGCCCATGTCTGGCAGGCGGATGTCGCCATCGAATACTGTGACTCTCGCTGGATCGCATAGGGTTTCGATTGTCTCTTCAGATAGCCATTGACTCCAAGTGGATCGCAAGCGCCTACGCATGACGGAGGTTAGCTGTGTGGTTGACGTTGTCTTGGACAGAACTGACTCGATGCCTCCTCGGCAAAGCACGTAGAGGTGGTGGACTTTGCACAGGTTTATCAAGCGATAAATGGTTACTGTACCTAGAAACCCCGGTGCCCCTGTCATAAAGACGGATCTCTTCTCGTAATATTCCAACATATTTAGTGTACTGTTGTACAACGATAGATATAAGACCCTAAGCTACCTTCAAAAGCAAATCAAAGGCGCTTCAGACGATGGATAACCGTTGGCGACGCTGTGCTGTCAAATGGTTGTTATGCTTATTCTATATCCGCCCAATAGCTCACGATCAGATCCTATGGACGACGAAATTCTGAGCTGTGTCGGTACATGGTCATAGTTTCAGCATAAACACCTCAATCTAGAAGCTGTGGACCAAGATGTTACTTGGCCATCCAAGTAAGCCCCGTTCGTTCTTGGCGGAGAGTTTGAATATCCTTGCTTGGATATCTATACCGAGTTCGAAACAGGAATCGTCTTAGAACCAAAAGTGAATTTCGCAGATGTTACATCATCCGACACATAGCGACCATGGTTTACTCGCAGGCTTGATGAGTCTAATATGGAGTGCTTTCTGAGTCTTACAATGCACGTCGCTCAGTGCGAATTACATCGGGTCCATCCTGAGGTTATAGTGTTCTAGAGGTTCCAGGAGAGAAAGCAGCTTCATGGCGGACATGATGTAAAGGGCAAATAGTGGTTTCAGGTCGGATGGGCTTGTCCCTAGGCTGGTGCGATTCCAACCTTCGGTTCTCTGCTACGCGCCTCATGCCCCTGCCAGGGATACATCTCTGTTTTGACTTATTCCTCCATTTAAACATGGCTTTTAGCGACATACACGGCCCAGTCTTGACCACCAGATCCATGATGGTATCTATGGTCACGTTCGGCTTCACCTGGAATGACTGGGGAAGAAGCTTGTTCTAAAGCTCAACTACCTTCATCATGATATGGAGATCTAGTAGTTAATGTGGCAGCGCAGCTTTGAGACGCTGTCCAGAAAGGTGTGTCGAGGACCTGTCATGGAAGTGGCTATCTAATGCATGAATGAACATATTTACCCTGATTTCTTCAGAACAGCAATTTCTTCGGCTCTTTCAATACCCCCGACAGTCCCAGTCGCAATTGCCTTTCTATTCTCCCCATCTTGGACCCACTTGAGCGGTCCAGGAGGCAGACAGTTCTTTGAACCAACCCAGAATAGAGTCTGACGAATGCCCTCATCGAGATCAGGAAGCATGCCATTTTGAAAGACAAATTCGCCTCCAAACTGTTTGGGAATGTTGATGTGATCCATGCACTTTTCCAACGTGGAGTACACCTGAGCGGATTTCAAAATGACCAGTTTTTCCGCTGTTCGCGGATCTACGAAGCCTTTTACAACATTCCAGATCATGGCGAACGAGGGAGGGGCGTTGCACACCTGTGTGGTCAGTATTATCTTCCTAAAAAAGTCATGCTACTTACAATAATACGGCTAATCGTCTCAGGATAGCACGTCGATAAAATCCAGCTAACCTCCTGGGCATAGTCCCTCATATCCCATGCCTGCTTCAACGATAGCGCAGACGCATCAACCAGACAAGTCGTTTTAGTCACTGGAAGAGAACTGTCTGGCCGATCAGTCATCGCCGTGCAGAGTGGCAAAATGAACCGTGTCAGGCCGTCTTGAAAAACACACGCTCGCTGTGCCATATCCGGAGATGACGTCGCTGATGCATCCCCACATGGTAAATTGCGGGTTTCTCTCCATCGAGTCATGGCTTCGCTTTTTATATGAGCTAGGTCGATCATTGTGATGGGTTGGCCTTGTTTGTCGCGACGGCCAGTCCAGTGGGGGTACTACAGTACATGCATGGTCAGAAACGATCATAGAAAGAGAAAGAAACGTACTAATCGCCTTGAATCTTCATAATCGTCTACAGAAATGACACTGTAAAACGCATGCACGCTTTTCTCCGCGTGGAATGCCGTTGCTTCTTGGAACTGCTTGAGAGCATCGTGTGGCTTCATTGCCCGTGCTTGGAGAAAGCGTCTACCCCATTAACAGGATTCAATATTGGGTCTCCGAGAGTCTACTTACAGCAGAGCCGTGTCATCGTTGATTCCGTCAACAACATCGCTTTCACCTAATTCGCTCGGTCGTTTTAACAAGCCTTGTTCGGTGCATAGCTGGCTGAATGACGCCAAGGCAGCTGCCGGATCCGCTTCAAGACTATGCATTTTGTCACACAATTGAACCTGACCTTCCCTAATGGTCCTGTTATTTCATATAACACCAGCTCAGGGTCAAAGCCACTACGGAACCAGCAGAGGGGGGAGTGTGTTGTCAAATGACGTGTAGTCGTTGGACGACTAGCGGTGTGCTGGAGCTTTACAAGGTATTTATAGACCGCCGTACCGCCGCCCCTTGCTCCTCGGTTGACCTGCGTCCACAACTTGACACCGGGTATGGTCGATATTACTGCATCTATGCAGCTGTGGCGCATTGACCGCCACCCAGTGCACAGCTGAACTGAATGCTGGAACCATCAGCCAATCAGAGCTTGTTCAAGGTAATAATCACAGACAGCCCTCAGGGGTTGGAGTTGGCAGAAAGGGCTTTGCAGCACTCGTAACCCTAGGTACAGACTTAGTACACAGCTTACTTCTTCAACAGCTTAACTATATAGATATAGGATAAATGAATGGATACAAAATATTTGGGATTCGGCCAGACCTCATTGAAAACGTTACCACCATCATGTGGCTCATATTTGCTCTTCCAGCTCTCAATAAACCTCCTCGACTTGGCAGAGAACGAGCAGCAACGAGTCATCTTTTGTAACTGTCGGCTGCATGGGTGGCACCACCTTTCTGCGGGCTCTGTAAAGATTTGGATACGCCCCCTATGGTGGTTGAGCGATCGGTGTGATTGCCAATGCTGGTGTCAAGATCTAATGCTTTTTATCTGGTATGTTAAGAGGTGATCGGGGTCGGGCCCGGGGCTTTCGGGCTCCCCGATCAATTCTTATGTCCCTCTTACAAATGTCTCCGTCTAAAGTCTCCGAGCATTATTAATATTTCCGGGCTACTCTATACAAAAACATGTAAACGCCGTGCCTAAGATGAAGAATCATCAAGCTTACGCTACACATCTATATTCCGAACATGTCACCAATCAAGAAAATTCTGGTTCTCGGGGCTGGAGAACTAGGCACGCAAGTACTGCTGTCCCTCGCCCAACATCCTCGCGTGAATGACATCGTGGTTTCTGTCCTTTTACGACCTTCCAGCATCTCCTCCACGCGACCCCAAAAGGTACGGGAGCTCTCGCTACTTCGCGAGCACAACATCGGGATAATTCCCGGCGACCTGGTCGCGGACTCTCAGGAATCTCTGGCCCAGACCTTCCGCGGATACGACACAATCATCGGCTGTACAGGCTTCGTGGCCGGTCGTGGAACACAGATCAAGTTAGCACAGGCTGTCCTCGCTGCTGCAGTCCCTCGCTATATCCCTTGGCAGTTCGGAGTGGATTATGACATTATTGGACGAGGATCCGCTCAGGATCTCTTCGATGAGCAGCTTGACGTTCGCGATCTCCTCCGCTCCCAAAGCAAGACCCGATGGACGATCATTTCCACCGGCATGTTCATCAGCTTTCTTTTTGAGCCTTCCTTCGGTGTAATTAATCTCAGAGATAACTCAATTTGCGCCTTGGGCAGTTGGGACACTAGGGTTACTCTCACTGCGCCCGAGGATATTGGAAAGCTCACTGCGGAAATCATTCTGGGCTCGGAACCAGATGTAGCATTCAACAACCGCCCAACGTTCGTTGCGGGTGACACTGTTAGTTATGCGGAATTGTTGCGGATAGTGCAGGAGGTTACAGGGAGGACGTTCGCAAAGAGTGTGCGCACGGTCGAGGCGGCGAAGGCCGATCTTGCAAAGGAATCGGATAACTCGCTATACAAGTATCAGGTGGTCTTTGCGGAGGGTCGCGGCGTTGCATGGGATATGTCTACAACGTGGAACCATGAATCGGGAGTAAATGTTTTGTCAGTTATGGAGTATGCAAGTCAGTACCTAGGTTAGTATCATGGCCCTGATCGCCGAGAAAAGGGGCAGTGAGAGCCCCGGAAGACAGAGCCAGAATATGATAGCTCCTGAAAATATCCCCTTAAAAGGTATAAGCCTTGGGATCGGCATTGATCTCATCAAAGGATCTGCAAGCCCTAGGGGCAAAATGCGAAACATTACCAGCTAATAAGGGATTGGCGAAGGATAGGAGTGATCGCCAGGGTCAAGCCACACAAGTCTGTCTTCAGCTCTATGAGCTAGTGATTTGACCCTAATATCTAACAATGTGGCCACCGTTAATGTATATAAGGGAGCGCAGCGTCGATCTCAGCTAACCAGCCCAGTCTGATTAGACCTCCCACAAGTGCCACCATAAGCACCATATCCCACTCTACCCGCGCATTTTACTCACGATCCTAGCAAAATGAAGTTCTCCATCGCTGCAATTTCTCTCGTTGCCCTCGGCGCAATGGCACTTCCCGCGGCAGTTGTTCGCCGTGGCGCCAGCGCTGCTACTGTCGGCCTCATTGGTGAGGTTGAGGGTTTCCGCGCCGACTTTTACGATATGATGGGCCACAAGACCATTGGTATATTCTATCCATCCTACACATTTCACACTCATAATCTAACCTTTCAGGATACGGCCACGATTGCGTCGCGAAGCAGGATTGCGACAGCATTAAGACCCCGATTAGCGATGCTCAGGGTGCTGAGATCTTACAGAAGGACCTCGTCGCTTTGAGCAGTGCGTGTGCGCGCTGCCCAATGCCAAGGAACTCAACGCGAATCAGTACGGCGCTTGGTCAGCTTTGCCTTTAACACTGGCTGTGGTGGTCTGCAACAGGCCTGGACCGGAGCGATGTCAAGCAAGAATTTCGCTAGCATCTGCGCTGGTCTTCCTAATGCCAACACTCTCGGAGGAGTTTTAAACACCCGTCGTCAGAAGGAGAGTGCGTTATGCTCCACGCCTACCACCGAGAAGTCTGGCTGCTAGAGGTGTTGTTCTGGGTTTGAATTGTTAAGCCTTTCTTCTTCTATTTCTATTACTTGACCTTTGTTTCATATTTGTCTTTTCCCTTTCGCTTGGTGGATATTCTCTGTTCAGGGGTTGGATGTGATTGATCAACTCAGACTACTTCTATAACCCTATTCTTCTTGTATTACCCCTTTTGCTGCTAGGCAATGGCTGTTATGCACCAGAAACCCAATCAACCATACCAACGTAAACGTATCGTGATATTGCAGAGCAACTGATGTTCTTGAACTGACTTGAAGAGCTTCAATAAAAGACTTTCCATATTCACTGCTCCGTATATTTTGTTAAACCCCCAAGCCCTAGGAAACAACAGGTCAGAATGTGGTGCCAAGCCAATGAGACACGGCAACACGCTGATTGTGACTGCGCCTTGCTCTTTTTGCCACCGTACCCTCCAGTGCCCAAAAGTAATAGTACCGAGTAGTCTCCTATAGTTACTATAGTTACCCCCTAAGTTGGGGGAAAGAAGAAGAAGCAAAGTTAGTTGGAAGGAATCCGAGGGATTCTGTTATACACGCCGGTGTATCGTACTGTTTTCTTGTTACTGTCCGCTTTGAGCTGTTCCTTCTGATTGGACCTTTTGCACTCAGGCAGAATTCTCGACCAATGGAAACGGCAGTATATTGGCCTGGGAGTGGTAAAACTCCGTTCTGTGTCGATCTTGAAAACATTGGCCGCAAGGGGCGTAGCAACCACACTTACTCGATACTCGTTACCATGGGTAGCTCTCTATTGTTTGTGGTCAGATGAGAATTATAATGAGAGAGGCTGAGTTAAATTCTAAGCGAAGCATTTCTCCATTTTCAATGCCTGATCATGCGTGCCAAACCCCCCTGTTTTCCTCGGACGAAAAGAATTGCCCTGTAGATGAAACACTGCGATTGCAATCGCTTCAAAGGTAGTGGTAGTACACTAAAACATGGCTCTATGTGCCGAAGTCTATATAATAATAATAGTACAAAATTGATAACAGCAGCTAGACCCTAGATACCCAATTGGCCGTGGCATCCTGGATCCAGCGTACCAGAAAGCATTGCGATATGTATGTAAATGCCGTTTCCCCCAAAGCCAGGCATGTGTCCTAATTTCGTCCCAAAATAGTTTGCATCAAACAGCTACATTTGACTCGACTCTCCTAACATCACACCCATTAAACGCATTCGCTCCCCGCGGATGATAGATCGTCCCACAGTATATCGCACTCGGTCTGCCGTTCTGATCCACCGGCGAGCTGGGATCATGTATAAAAATGGCCCGGAACCGTTTCACATATTCCCATCTCCCATTGAAATATTCCCCCTTGACGATCGTCATCTCTTTGCGGTGCAGCCCCTTGTTCCTATTGCACTTTTTGTGTAGGAATCTGAAGTTCTCGTAATTGGAGTAATCATGGGGAAAATCTGCACTCGTGTCAGTATATACCATGGAAGACTTTTCTTTGATTTTTTGTTGGCCTGGTGTTGGAGCTTACCAGCTAGTTGTGTTCCCTGGCGGTCTAGGCTGACTCCGAGGGAAATGGCTTTGTGGATGTCGTCTCCCGTGACTGTGGCCTGTCCTGTGTTGGGGTGAGTATGGATTGGGATTATCGTGGAGGTTTTAATGCGTACCGCATATGACGCTGAATGAGGCATCGAGCCCTTGGATGTTGGCGGGGATAGGGGTAGCCTGTTGCGGGGGAGCAGGATGCGTGCCAGCGTCACTCAGCGCAGGACTTGGGGGACGCTGGGCATTGTTGACATTATTGAAGTTGTTGAAGTTGTTAGGGTTGTTAACGTTGTTGAAGCCCGTTTCACTGAGGGCAGGGCTTGGAGGCCGCTGGGGAGGCACTGCGACGGCTAGGGAGACGAGACTGAGAGCGACGGCGATCTTCATGGTATTTTTGCATGCACGGGTTGCCTTGAGGAACTGTATCTGCGTTGCCCATGCAAGTATCGTGGGCTGTGATACGCTTATGGTGAAAACTTATATGTGTTACCGGTCAACGGGTTTTGAATGTATCCATGGTTGGTCTCCTGATACTTAGGGCAATGTCAGACATGACGGGAGAGCGGTTTATAGAACCGAACTGTGTCGCTCTCCCGACACTGGTTGGCCCTCGGCCATCCATAAGGTAAACACACATGGATATTGGCGCTAGCAACCCTGATCTATAATAAGTACATCCCAAATCATTGGGAAACAGCGACCCCGCCGAGTTAATCGACATTTTACAGAGTACTCAATGCATATGTCCGTCTCTGTGCGTGATTTAGCCAGTTGCCCGAAAACAAAGAGAACGCTCGTCAACAAGTGGGGATTGTCCACCCCGTCTAACCTAGGGCTAAGAGCATCAGTCAATAGAATGTATAGAAAGGACAGGGACGGCAAGAGTATAGATGAAAAAAAGCATAAGTCTGTACTGTAATCCACATCCACAATCACGGCCAATATCATACACCGGCTATCTTCGTCGAACATCAATAGCAGGACCCATGAACCAAACCCACGGTTCCGTTCGAATGGCATACACTAGTTACGTCCTTAAGTTACAATTTGACATCGTGTAATTGGATAATGGATGAATACGGAAAATCCGGTTGGTTCCTACTAGTGGTTTAGATATCGAATTCGTATAAAGAGATGTGAATGTAAGTCTGACGCCCGATGTTCTTGGCTCTCCACCATCATCCCGACTTAATCAAAAATAGCAACGACAAATTACCAATAAAGGTCTGAAGGAGCCAAAGTCTTTACATGAGTCTGGCGCTCCAGTAAGACGTGTCCCATTGCGATAAATCGGTGAAACGTAGTTGTACTAAGAAACGTATAACTGCAAATCGTACCACAAGGCTGAAACAGAGATCTCGCATCAATGTGCTCCATTGCTCCGAGCCCTATCGGAGTTTTCTAGGCTCTGGCCTTGGGGCCGTTAAGGAGGAACAAAGCGATGGGCCAGGTCAAACTTACTTTGACCCCCTGACTCAACGGTATAAAATGATTCAACGACAGGTACCCTATATCTCTATCAAGACACTCTTGCGTTAACTCGTTATATTGTAGTGTCCAGCCAGGCCTCGGAAATCTCTCACATCCGAGAGCCACTCACAAACAGTGTTACATCTCATGGGATGGAGCACTTTGGCTTGATCATTCCCTGATGTAAATATACGTTAATCTCCACCGGGTTGCCGTTAAAACCCTTCAACAGTGATTCCACGGTCCAAGTCAGTCGCTAATTGAAGCAATGCACGACCAATGGTGAGATCCATTATACCCACCCCGACGCATTTCAACACAACATTGCCTTCGGGAGTACGCGAAGCTTCAGGTACCAGGTATTCCCCTACCTCTATCAATTGCTCCTCTGTCACCTTGGCGTCTCGCAGTTCTCCCGCTTCCTCCAGACATGCCTCTCTCGAATCCACGAAGATTTGACCACCCCCGGATAACAAAGTATCCGTATCAATCTCTTTCATATGCAGCTTATATGATCCAATCAGTGAAATAAATCGCCGTTTAGGACATGTCTCGAGGAGCGAAAACGGAAACAGCGGCTCGGTTGAAGGTGTACAACAGAATATAGCGTCAGCCGAAGCGAGATGGGTTTGAAGCGCTGATTCATAGTTGGGCGTGTCCTCCTTGGCCATCAGATGAAAAGTTACTCTAGGGTATATTGTTCGCAAGGATTGGATGACATCCTTCTCCAGCTGGTTGAGTCGCTGACGGCCTCGGTTGATAACAGTGACACTTTCAACCTCCTCCATAGCAAGAAGTAGAGCGAGTCTGATGTGCCACTCTACCTGTTTCCCCGAACCGAAAGCCACGATATTTTTCTTGGGGATGTGGGTGATACGGGTGAAAAGACACATTGTTGTCAATGCCGTGCGGAATGCAGTTACCTGCGAGGCTCCCAGCATACCAATCATCTCCCCCGTAGGCGCAAACACGAGCGTGACTCCAACTGTATCCCCCTTGGCCGGTAGTGTGATGACTTTGATACCGGTATGGGTGGTATCGGAGCATGGCATGAACAAGGTCGTGTCGTTGTTCTTTGTAGCGATCCCCGTTCGCAATGGTTGGTGAATGAGTTTCTCAGCTGTCGTGTTTTTCTTGTCGGTTGAGTATTGGATCAGGCTGGCGGTCAAGATGTCGACCAGACGCTGACATTGTGGGTGTGAGAGATCACAGATGAGGCGATAGGCCTCTTGCTCAGGGAGAAGTAACATCTTAGTAAAGTAGTAAGTCTTCCACGGTGGATTTAGAGGGCTCATAGGTCGAGAATCTCCCTTGAGTATTAACTGGATGCTCTCTTGGAGCTATCTCTATGTGTTGTCTTGATCAATTGCTAGGGTTCGGAAGGGCATTCCGCGGAAGGCGTCTCCGAAGAACTACCTGAAGATCCACCATGCACCTGAAGGACTATTGTTAATATCACTAATACAGTAGACGCTTCGTACGTAGTCATAGCCGAGATGTGCATGTAGTAGGCAGTCGAAGTTATCTTGCATTGATGTGTCCTCCAGTTGTGTTACATACTCGCTACTTCTATAACGGTATATCTGGAACGACACAGATGGCCAGCGATTACGATACAAGCTACAGTTACCTACACATCAATTACGGCGCTGACTGATGAGCCTGTATTCCTAATAAACAATGCTTCAGATTGAGCTTTCGGAAACATAATCTGAAAGCTAATTCCACATATTGCTATACTCAAATTCAAAATTGGTACCCCACACACTCTCTTGAAGGACGTCCAATTGGTCAGCCAGGTCTAGTATCTGCGTATGGTTTATGTCGATGTTCTCAACGTCAACAGCCCAACTAGCAAAGTTGTCTGGGGTTGAGGGACGTTGTTCTAGGTCATTACGCGATACGATATCTTCGTGGGCTCCGAGCTGTTGTTGCTCTACGCGCACAATCTCTAGTGTCATCCGCTGCAGGAGGTCAAGTTCTTTGCTCCGTTGTTTAGCTGCCAGGTCTCCGTTCGCAATCTGGGCATTCAGCAGCCATGAGGCCGTCGAGATGTAATTTTCCACATCGGGTACTAATGACGGCTCGATGAAAAAAGCGAGAACGACGATAAACGCAGAGAAGAAGGCGTTGTCTTGGTTGAATGGGATGAAGGATTCTTGTAGATGTATGTCAGAATGTGTCCCCTTGTAATAGAGCTACTAGGAGAGAAGGTTACTCACCAAGTGAAGACTGCTCATGTAGTGATATTAAGGTCCTCAGTGAAATTTTGGCGGATTGCAAAGAAGTCTCCAGCAGTGGTCTGAGAGGTGGGGGGATAAATTCATTTGTCGCTCCGTTGGAACCCCGGGACTTCTTCAATCGGTGGGTCAGGAAATATAGGAATAGAGGCGGGTTGCCAGAATGATGCACTATTTAGTATGGGCTCTATGTCAACGATCATGTCAGGTCCTGCGAGAACGATGATTTCCCTTACCTGGTGGTACAACAGAAACAGGTGGTTGGTCGTAGTAGAAACTGTGCGGAGGGTGGGATGCGCAGTCCTGGCAGAGACGGTCTCGATCTCCCGCAGAATATCTGCAATATCTCTTAATACCGACTGAACTGTGGCGATGAATGATCGCCGTTGTTTACTATCCGCTGTGTAAACGGCTGCACGACGGTCAGTTAAACTATATCACTCAGGTGGCTACAGGATGCCAAACTTGAATGCTGCCATAGCAATGAGTACATACATTCTATAATATCCCCCATAATCCGAGAAAGCTTGACATGGACTGTCAATAGCGTCCCACGTTCCGAAGCATCATAAGATGAAGGCAAGGAGCAGGTGATCTCGCTGTCTTGAATCGAGCACGGTGCGCCCACCATGACTGAAAGCTGACGATCTAGTATATATGTGGTCCACCATATATTCCTACCTTCGTTTGCGAACTTCACGCCGAAGAGATCGATGGGTGGCTCTTTCTGGAGTCCCTCGATGATACAAGTCCGGAATGATTGGCCGACCTGTTGGCTGTTAGTGGGATGTACTATCAGTATGGGTGATAAAGAAACGCACATAAGCATACGCGGCGTCTTTCATATCCACCGATACTAGATACAACCCGGCCAAGTATAAGATTTGCATCCCCAGGTTGGGACGACGTCGGTGCAATCCAACCCAATCTGGCATAAGAGACATGGCACGCTCGAAGAATACAAATCCTGGTGGCGAGCTGGAACTCCTTGACTTAGTAGTGGTGCGTTTTGCAAGGGCAATAATTAGTAGATATTGAATGAACCAAAGAGGCGAGCTCCTCGCTTTCTCGAGGCCTTTTTGGTAAAATTCATGTAGGTGCGGTAGGAACTTCTCTTCGTCAAATAGAAAAAGCATCTGGTAGGAATGGAACTTGGCCACCTCCAAAAGATATAGGGCATCATGGAGGGATGGGAGTCCTTCCAGTAACTGATCACTATCTAAACTTGTTCGTGCCCAGTTTAACTCCCACGTAGTCCCATCAACGTGAAATGGCAGTTCAGGGGCAGGAAATTCGGGCAGCGCTGTTTTTAGTAAAAGAAAGACACGTTGAGAGAACGACCAGGTAGATGATGGCCCACAAAAGCCTTTTGCAATTAGTACAGACAGAATTCGTCCATTCCCAATGGATTATAGGTTCACTCACGGTATCGCCCAGGGGTGTCTTGAAGATAGAACGAAGTGGCAGACACCAGGGGGTTCGTGATAGCTTCTCCATCGGTCGCATTCGCGCCGGATACATGCATACCCCCTGTAACTGTTTAGCATGTACTCTTCGCCGATGCTAGTTTATCTGCTAACCATGCCCGGGCGACAAGTCGGTGTTGGGCGCCGGAATTGAGACATCCTCTGAGCTGGCACGTGTCGAGACCTGCCTTTCTTGCTTCCTGGTGTAGGATTCTTGCAGTTTGCGCAGATAACTGACAATTGCATATCTAAGTAGACTGAAGGTAGGCAGTGGGCTGCAACGTTACCTTTCGGATACGATCACTCTCTTTTCTGCTTGTTTGAAGATGCATTGCAAATCGCGAGCTATACATGACTCACAGGGGTGGCGTCCCGAGCATTTAACCTTTCTCTTCTTACACTGCTCACATCTGTCAAGCCGGTCAGTGAATCGCTCGAGCAACAAGGTGGAATGGCGATATAGGTAGAGCTACGCATTGGCCACCTTGTCCAACTGTCTCCTCCGACGGACCCTAGAAGCCATCCTGGATCAATTTTCTGATTTTTCCACCAGCGTGGTGCATCTGTTGATAGGTAGATGCACTGTAAGGCAAAAAGAGGAAGCAATATGGACAATGACTACGGATTAACGAGCATAGTGTATAGCTGAGACGTCGAGATTTGCTCGGAGGGGTCTTCCGAATCGACCCACACTGTGATGAGGATTCCTCGGAGACTTGTCCGATTATAGCGGCAAGCCGGTCAAAATAAAATTTACTGTTCATGTTGAACGTGGGCGACTTAATAAGTTTGTATTTCCTTGTCCATATCTTCGAGGTAGCATAGAAAATATAGATATCCATATATGATGAACTAATCATTCTTCTTTCCTACGTAGAGTAATATTGAACATTTTGACCGTTCTGACCATCGCAATCTATTCCAGCTGCTTACTTCAATTTCTACTCTCTGATGTCAGCCTCAAGCGCTTACTCCTTCTATATTAAATCTTGATTTATTTGTTCAGGCGCCCCACGTGATAGGTTATTGATATCAGCATACGTTAAAACTGTTGCCTGATTCCTGAAATGCGGCACAAAAAGATAGACACTCGCTTGTCGCTCTTGCATGATTCTTCAAGACATCGCAACGACCATGGAGTTCTATCCAAAGATCGTAATCCTCCTCCTGACTATACTAGGAATCGCAGGAATATCCATTCGGCGCTTCGTTATCCGCCGTCAGTTTGCACGCCGCCACGGCTGCCAGCCAGTCGCGAAATCTGCCAGCAAGGATCCTTTCCTGGGCCTGGATACCCTCCCCGGGACAATCCGTGCGATCAGACAGCATCGGATTCTTGAGAGAAATTGTAGGCTTTTTGGCATATATGGCAACACCTTCAGAGTCAAGGAGCTGCATCAAAATGCAATCGTGACGATCGAGCCTGAAAATATCAAGACAATTTTATCCCTGAACTTCAAGGACTATAGCATCAGACACCGTTTCGAGCCATTCAAGCCGCTATTGGGAGAAGGCATCTTCAATACCGATGGCGAACACTGGGCCGCATCGCGCGCGCTGATCCGGCCGAGCTTTGCCCGTGAACAAGTAGCCGATCTGAGCTTGCTAGAGAACTTGATGCAGGATTTATTGGTGTTGTTTCCACGCGATGGTACCACGGTGGACTTGCAGGCACTGTTCTTCCGCTATACGATTGATTCCGCGACGGAGTTTTTGTTCGGCCAGTCTGTTGGCGCGTTGAAGAAGAGCCAGTCGGAGCTCGCTTTCGCAGAGGCCTTCCACTATGCCCAGAAAGCTATTCCTATACGGGCCATGTTGGGTCCGTTGAATGCGGTTTACCGTGATCGAAAGGCTGACGAGTGTAATCGCATCTGTCGGGACTTTGTACAGCAGTTTGTCGACGAGGCTGTCCATGCCGCTGATGTGAGGAAAGAAAATAAGGAAACCAGAACCACAGAGATGAAGCGGAAATATATTTTCTCGCATGAGCTGGCGTCGCGCACGTCCGATAAGCGGCGTATGGTAGATGAGTTGATCAGCGTGCTCCTAGCTGGGCGGGATACAACAGCCAGTTTACTCGGGAACCTGTTCTTCATGTTAGCGAAGAACCCGGCGATTTGGAAGAAGCTGCGTGCCGAAGTTGATGTCTTGCAGAATCGGCCACCGACATATGAGGAGCTTCGTGGCCTGAAGTATATTCAGTGTTGTGTAAATGAATGTATGGGGCTCCTACCCGGTTCCTCTGGCTTCTTTCACTAACTTCAAACCCTCAGCCCTCCGTCTTCACCCTGTCGTGCCCCGTAATCAACGCGAGGCGATGCAAGACACAGTGCTCCCACTGGGCGGAGGTGAAGACGGCCTCTCTCCTGTATTTGTCCCGAAAGGAACCCTAGTCTGCTACGATCTCTACGCCATGCATCGCCGAGCCGACTTCTACGGGCCAGATGCCGAAGAATTTCGCCCAGAGCGCTGGGAAGATGGTAAACTGCAGCCACGCTGGGAATATCTGCCGTTCAATGGTGGGCCACGGATTTGTCTTGGTCAGCGCTATGCCTTGACCGAAGTGAGCTACGTTCTTGTCAGGATGGTGCAGGAGTTCCGCGGGCTAGAGAGTCGGGATCCGGGACCCTGGGAAGAAGGTCTGGCTTTGACGCTTTGTTCGAGGAATGGGACTAAAGTTGGGCTTATTCCATGACTACATGTACATGACCTCTCTGGCTTTTTAATAATCCTACCTCTAGCAGTGCTAGAAATGCATTATACATTAACAGTTGATACATAAGCTTACGGAATACCTTAAGCAGATGAACCAAAGGCCCAGGTTCTGCGTTAGAATCTTGCAAATTAAGCCAGCCTGGACAGGGTACAATACTGGTATATTGGAAATCAAAGTGGAATCGCACACATATAGCTATGAAGGTCTACTAAAATTTGGTCCTTCCCAATCAGGGTATCATGACGATGCCACTCGCGTCTTGAGTCCACTCGTAGTATTACCGTCTTGCGGTTAGCGTGGGTCGGTTTACGCTCGGGTCAAGTTCGGGACATCGCGAATATACGGAAGAACGCAACCACGGAGCCAGCTTAACCTTCCAATATGATGTAAGTCAGTGGAGACTAGGAAGCGTTGGCATTACTATATTATTTATTCCTAAGCTAATGGGAATCGCTCGCGGCTAGCCTCGACAGTCACAAATGTCATTAATTCTATTAGTAACCCCCATATATCTGCACGAATTGGGGTTTGGCTAAACATCGAGTTCAGCTGGTGTGAGAGTCGTATCATGTACAAGCATTCTCATAAATCCATATGCTATTCCCAGACATGCTCCCAAAAGTATATCCCCGTTAGCCCAGATTGCCGTCCCATGAATGTCACTCGCGCTCTTACGTAAAGGCCAGTAGGAATCGGAGAGGAAGAGGAGGTCTGGCGTAGCCTTTCATAGATCGAGCATGGAGGGAGCGAGACTACGAGCCGGTGTTGTCTGATCAATCTCCTTATATCAATAGCCCTGCGGCGACGGGTGCTAACCCGTATAGCGCACTGCTGATACTGAAGAGGCTTTCCGCGTGGTTGTCCACGATCTTGGGGTACTTGGTCGCGTCGCTGGTATCACACTCGCCCCATGGGTTGGTAGTGCTCAGGGTGCAGTTGGCGTGGTCGCCGTGATCATTCTTGAATTGTAGATCGCCGGTGTCCCAGTTGACGGTGACGGAGGCAGTTTCACAGATTTCCTTGGTCTCGATACCCTCATTCCTGCCACACTTCTTCTTGAAAGGGTCGGAGCTGCCCTTGCAGCCGAAAAGCTCCTCATCGATGATGACTGTACAGTGCGTCACGTACCCGTTAGCTGGTGGTTGGGTAGACTTGATGTAGATGTGGGCGCCCGAAATGGTTTGCGCCAGGGCAAAGGCGGTGCCAAGCTTGAGGAGCCAGGAAGACATGGTGAACGTCAATGTTGGGTTAACTAACGGCAACAGACGGTCTAGAAAGGCAATGAAAGTGGTAGCAAGTGCGTGCGTTGGGAACCAGCTATGGGCTACCAGAGAGTGAGTTGCCCTTTATAATGTAGTGATCATCTCGGTAGAGGTTTGCCTTCCTCCGGCGAATCCGGCTCACCATGGTACAATCTTTCACGTCGAGCTATCTTCAATGACTAAAGGTATGTTTGTAGATGGGCAGAGACTCCACCGATGAACAAATCCCGCAGCGGACGACCCTGGGTGCCATTGCCAGACCCTGAAGCCCTAACGCCATTGCCGGGCATAGTAGCGGCGATGCAACCGTCAGGATTGAACGCCCTCCACTCTCCATCATCAGGTCTGTGCTAATTATCCGGCGCACCCGGATGCTTAAAATCACTCGCTGTAACCTTGACGACCATTGGAAAAATTCTCACCTGTAGATATTCGAATCAGAGTGACAGCACGCCGCAAAAAAATGCCTCAAGAATACTGGGATCTCACCAGGTGAGATTACAGGAACGCTATCCAACGATATGGATGGTTCTAGTCGGACGGGTTCATATCGATGGCACGCCTGATATGGGTAGCAAGTATAGCTTTGACCACCACAATTTTCGTATCTAGAGACTTGCCCGTGCCGATCTACCCGATAAGCCAAAGCCAAGCCTTCGCATGCTGGTCTAGTACTGCCTCTCCCTATTGGATGCTCAACTGCAAAGACATGGCTACTGTCTATTGTGAATGTCACGAGAGACCCGCGTCGGAAAGAATTCCGAATGTAGATATACCCAATTTCATCAACATAATTACTGACAACTGATTTTTATTATAGTATGTTTACCTATAACTCCCACCTTTCCACATAAGAAAATCCCGTCTATAACGCGTTCCAGAGTCTGGCTGAGCTTCTTGATCGACCGTTCAATATTAACCAGACAATCAACATCAAAATACTGTATCCATTCGCACTGCTCCCGACAGCCCACCCAGTAAGATCCTAACCAACCCTTCAATTCCGACTAGTTTCTTTATACAGCTCACGGATCAGGTCTGCCAGTCGCTGAACTTCATGCTTATACCAAGGCATGGCGTGGTGATAGTCAACCTCATATACCTTGGATGTACCTGGTTCATAATACATCGCATGTTGCTGCTTTCCCAGTTCCAAAAACATATCCTTCAGTCCATGAACATGTAGCGTCGGTATCTTGATCAACTCGGTCGATCCCATGGTGGCAAACTCTGTAACAATTCAATAGTCAACATGAAGATCCAGATCACCGAAAAAAAGCCAAGGCAAGAGGAGCATACGATGACCGATCTCCGACACCATGGGTGCACCACCACCCATACACAGCACCCCGAATTTCAGTTGCGGAGTACTTCCCGGTTCCCCCAACGACGTCCTCTGCTGTTGATCCAGCAGCAGCCCACTGGTGATGCGGGTGCCCTGGCTGAATCCCATCACTCCGACCCATTCCCCACCGGGTCCCGCCGCTTCCATCAATTTCCACACCCGCTCCACACCGTCCCGCCCCGAGATGTCGTATCCACTCCCATCGCTCTGCTCGACCTCCGATCCGTCCCTCTTGAACCATGACCGGAAAGGCTTGTAATCACGGAAAGCGGGCAGAATGCCTGGTCCGGGTCCGCTTTCGAACGGCCCATCGAAGAAAACGAATTGAAAGTCATTTTTGAGCAGTCCGGCCAGCTGGGCGCATTGAACCTCGTAGATGGCGCCCTTCGACCCACCACCGTGGAAACAGGCGATGCGCGGCAGAGACCCGGTCATTTTAGCTATAGCGGTGATGCTATAACGGTTAGATGGTAGGGTAGGGTGGGGATTTAGGGGGAATGAGTGTTGATCTGGGTTGGAGTGCGGGGAGATGAGAAACCAATTCAAGTCGGTGAAGGGGTTGGCGGGGTCATGTGAGATCAGACGCAATTCATATCCAGGATTATGCATGATTATCTTAGCTTATCACATACAACACTCTTGCCGAACTTGATTTTGTCGTGTCGCGGCAGGTGGCTATATAGCATTCTGAGTAGTTTCCGTTTACTCACAAACGCTGGCGAATATCCGAATCTGTGCGACATTCAGAGAGGACAATTGAATGGAATGAAGGTATACAGACTGTTCACATAGAGATTTTGGAAAACATATCTCGTGTGAACCCACATCTGGTAGAGTCATGTAGGCCGTCTCGATCGGCTCGAAAGGATCTACCATTAGGTCTAGTAGACCTAATTGATTCCAGGCCCGTGCTCCGTTGGGCATGATAATCAAGGGTTCCTCTGGAAGAGGGACATGTTCGTTGCGCTTGTCGAGGATAAGGTAGTTTATACCTGCCCGGTGCAGACAATATGATAAAGTAAGGCCTTCGATGGATGCTCCGACGATGATGAGCTTGAAGTGTGGCAGGGGCATCGTGTTTTTGGTTGGGTTATTGGGCTTCTTTGGCCAGGATCCTCCGTCGAGGGCAAATTGACAGAGATGAATCGAGGTGTTGAGTTGAAGTGTATATTTTTGGCGTGGCCCGCTCATTCTGTACGACATTGTCACCGTGACAATGGCTTGGGCCCGATATTTTGCCTGGTGTGGGTGTGACCCAGACAATTTCCTAATTCCCTACCCACCATGCTGTTTGTAATAGACACCTCTGTGGGATGAAGCAACTCTTGTCGAGGTCAATCAAGTCTCCGTTAACAGTTTGGCGGGATTGCGATTACATTGACACTGCGAGGAATTTGTAGCTATCTCCAAGAATAATTCCGACTTCTCTACCTGTTTTAACGCGTGACTATTTGGGCGTACTACCCGCGTCGTCGTAGATTCGTGTTCTACTCGAGAAATACGTTATCAATAGACTATTTATTAATTTAACGGGCAGAGTGATGTAGTAAGCTGCGACAATTGGGATAGTTCAAGATAAACCTATATTTAGTCTAAATTTGAATTCTCTACAGAACTATGGGGCCTTGACTGGAGCACTGTGCACCTCTCCTTACTTTCTTATCTTCAGATGATCAACACACCACTGAGTAAAATTTTTATTAACTGTTTCTGAGCATACTTAGATTGTACCGTGCCATTGATCACCAACACGAAAGCCTTGGGGGAAAGGATCCTCAGAGTCTAGCACGACCGTCTGATAACCGGTGATCCACGCCCGACCCTGGATAGTTGGTAAGACGGCCGGGTAATTGGCAACATTAGTCGTCCCCCTGATATGCGTGATGAACTGGGTTCCCAGAATACTCCGGTGCACAAACTTCTCCCCTACGGCAATCTGTCCTCGAGCATGTAAGACGGCCAGACGTGCCGAGGTACCCGTGCCGCAAGGGCTTCTATCGAATCTGCCTGGAGAAGTAACAACCGTATTGATCGCCGTCTTGCCGCTGCCATCCGGAAGCTCTTCGACAGGCTCGGTGAACTCGAGAACGCTGTAGCCAAAGATATCGGGGTTCTCGGGGTGTGCCGGGGCGTAGGCTGCGCCAACCGCCTTCTTGATCTTCTCGCCAAACTCGACCAGCTTCGGGCCATCGGCGTTCCGGATCCTCAGACCAAGGGATATCGCGTCGACGAGTATATACATCATGCCTCCATAGGCAATATCGACTGATACGGTGCCCAGGTCGGGAACGTCTATCTTGTAATCGAGCTGGAAAACGAACGATGGCACGTTATCAAAGGCAACGCTCCTGCATTTGCCTCCCTGACATTCAGCCCTCACTTTAACAAGCCCAGCCGCAGTGTCAAGCGTAAGCTCCGTCACGGGCTCTTTCATAGGGATCATGCCGGTTTCTAAGAGCACTGTGACCGTGCATATACTGTTGGATCCCGACATCGGTGCATATTCTTCGTTTTCCATAATCAACAACCCGACATCAGCGCGGGGATCGCAGGGAGGGAGGACCAGGTTCACGTGCTTGCCCGGCCGTCCTCGAGGCTCGTTGAGGAGAAGAGACCTTACCTCGTCTTGCTTGTATAGGAAGTGTTGTCGCTTCTCGAACATGGTCTTTCCAGGGACGTCGAGGACCCCGCCGATGATAACATCCCCGACTTCCCCCTCGGCATGGCATCCGACCACGGAGATGGTTCGTGACGTAGGCATGCTTGAATGTTTGATTTGAGCGATAAAAATGAATTCAAGTCGTATCAAGTGAGGTGAGAATTCCAATTGTATAGCGTCCGTTGCTCCTCTCGATTATTTATATGCTGTACGGCCGGAGCACGTCCGACCCGGAACCCTCATCCGTAGTTCCGCTGCCTGAAGGCAACTAATCACTCGGGACAAAGAACGATTGCGATCATCTGCAGCCACTCGAAAGCGGGCAAGAAGCGGACGATCGTGGAAAGATCAGTCTTAGTATGGGTTTATGAAGCTGCTAGGCAATACTTCTTGAATTTCCCCCGCTTGGGGCGGGGTTGCGGTAACTAAACTAGATTCTGTAGGTCTCTATATCTGACATATTTTTCGTGCATCCAGCCCGAATGCGATATGTTAGATAGAAGGTTCCAAAGAGCTGAAGATAGATTGGTCAATGATTATGTGAGATTAGGACAATAAGGCAAGTGATACCAGGTTGCATTAACTCAAAGCAAATGAGCTCGATGTCATAAGTGACTGCCTTGATTTTCATAGGCATTGGGCTCCACTGTTGACCCATGTTAAGAAATCAAAGAGTTGTCAGAATTTGACATATACGAGGAGTCCAGGTGACGAAGCAAAAAAGGGAATTTTGGGTCGATGTGGCTATATATATCTTCGACAGATGTGAGGCTATACAAGCTTCTCGTGGTCGCAAAAGCGAAAATCATAGCATATGGAGACACCGCACGAACTACACAGCCTTGACATCTGGGATCCACCGACACTACTACAAACAGAGTATAGACACGTATCCTTTCTGCGTCGCAGATCCAAATAAAGAACATCCGCACGTTTGTACCCAATAGCTAAGACCCAATGCGCATCCACTGCGCCAAGTCGCATGCCACGTAGGCAGACACAACACCAGCCCAAGCACCAGTGGAATGGCGTTACGATGCTCCCAAGTCTAATAATTCAGTCCTACTTACCACGGTCGGAAATGGTGGCACAATCTAACACGATCGGAGAAAAAAAGGAACTGGTGAGGTGGCTGGTGAATTGACCGCTACTTCCTATCGACGGACCCATTCGACACGACACTAAAAGCGCCCACTTCTCGGTCCCAACATGATACAAAGCCCTCCATGACGACAGGAGGCCGTTTGGGATTCCACCACTTCTCCCGGCCATGATGCCCTTCCTCCCCATCTTGCTTGTCCTCGCCGGGCTCACTTTTTTGTTTCGGCGACGGCGATATAAGGCCATCGAGCAGGACGAGAGTCCTCGGGTAGTCGTTAAAGGGCATACCTATTCAGATAGCGTGGAAGAGATAGAATTACCGCAGCTAAGAAGCGAGAAGATCGAGAATGTTCGGAAAGCTTGTATGATAGGCGCGGGATATGTGGGTATGCATCATGGCTTGTTGCCGATTAATTCGTATGGTCGCTAATCTATTTCCTCAAAGGTGGACTGACGGCACTGGTGCTTGCATCACAAAACCCACATATTCAGTTCTCTGTCGTGGACAGTGATGCTCGCCTCATTGCCGCGTGGAATTCGGATCGGCCTCCTGTCTTTGAACCAGGACTAGAAGATCTATTATTTGAGCCTAACGATCCACCGCCATTGCCGACGCCGTCGCCATCACCAAAGCCAGAGGCCGCACAGGATGAGGATTATCTAAAAAGTTCAAGTAATAGTACCAACCATGCGGAGCTCGTCGCTCTCGTACCGCGACGCCGGAAGCTCGCCAATGTGAGCTTTTCGACTAATATGCACGAAGCCGTGGCAGCGGCGGACATGGTCTTCCTATGTGTAGACGCGCCATCCAGTATCATGGTCGGAGACAAAAGCGATATAGACCTATCTCGCCTGGAAATCGCCATCCAAGCGATCGCCCAGGTTTCCACAGGCCACAAGATCATAGTCCAGAAAAGTACCGCTCCGTGCGGTATTGTGCCACGACTCAAGAAGCTCGTAAGTCTCATAGAATCGTAACATGTTGTTCCCCTAACAGTTGTAGTTGAAAGAAACGGCCTCGCCATCGGCATCTTTCGATGTTCTTTCCAACCCCGACTTCCTCGTCCCTGGCGCAGCAATCAGAGATCTCCTTTATCCTCCCCGCGTGATCATCGGACACGTCTTCTCAGAAGATATGTCGCCCGAGGCATTAACGGCCCTGAAACGATTATATTCTCCATGGGTTCCGGACGATCGCATCGTGACCATGGATGCATGGTCATCGGAACTAGGAAAGCTCGCGGCCAACGCTTTGCTCGCCCAACAGATCAGCAGCCTCAATTCCCTCAGCGTACTCTGCGAGTCGACGAACGCCAATATCAATTATGTCTCAGAAACTCTCGGATTGAGTCAGCGATCGGGACTAGGATTCGGCGGGTCGAACCTGCAATCGGACGTGCTTTGTTTGGTGTATCTGGCGCGGGAGTTAGGGTTGCAGGAGGTTGTGGATTACTGGATGGCGGTCCTTCGAATGAACGAATACCAGAGACATCGAGTTGTGAAACGCTTGATCACCCGACTAGGGGACGTGAAAGAGAAACGAGTAGCGGTACTCGGCTTTGTGTCCAAGGGAAATGTGATGGATACGCGGACCACAACGGCATTGGGCTTGGTACGAACATTAACCAGCAATGGGGTGCGCGTCAACATCTACGATCCGCACGTCCAGGCCGACCGCAGCGAGAGCACACTACGACTCTACGACTGCCATCCAGAAATGGTGACGGTGACCGAGTCCATTGAAACGGCGTGTTTCGGATGCAGCGCGTTGGTGCTCCATACCGATTGGGAGGAGTTCCGCCAGGACCAGGTGCGATGGCAACGCATCGCTGGCCATATGGCGAGTCCGAAGGTACTTTTGGATCCTCATGGTGTCTTTGATGGCTTTAAGATGCAGCAATGGGGATTCGAAGTGTTGCAGGTGGGCATCCGGAGTGCGAAGGTGCTGTGAGCTGGTATAATATTTAGTGTATTGTATCATGTATGCATTATGACGGCGATTTTGAGCGACTTGATTGATTTTATAGCATTCACAAAACTACTAATGCATACACAAGTCTCCTTATACCATAGTGTCGCTAGCTTTGACAAAGCTTATTTGATTCTAACCGAGTTGTGTACTTCACTCTATCTAGTTTTTATTAAAAGAAAACAGTGGATTGACTCCTAGATAAAACAAATATAGTAAAGCTAAAGAATGTAGCTATTAGGAAATTATTTAATGATATATTTTTAGTATATTAAATGTACTATTGGATTGTATTTATGTATCAATAGATATTTTTAATATTCATCTCTACTAATATATTTTCTATTTATTTTATTTTTGTTATAACATATACAGCAGTCTTTTTTATAGTAAAAATTATTTATTATTACTTTTTTCGAAAAGTTTTTCCAACATGTCGACTACCATCCTGCAAGCCCAAGG